ATTATCATGAAATTCACCCGCAGCGCCCAGTGTGGTAATTCATGGTTCCGCCGTTGCTGCTCGGCTCGTGTATTTTTTTTTAATTTGTACTTTTTTTTTGCTATTTTTTGGCAAAAGATATTTATTATAATTCAATTTTTTATGCCTGCCTCGAAGACGTCGCCCGCCAGCTCTTTCGCCCACTACTCCACCTCCCCCTTCACCTCCTCGTCTGTTGAAAACTTGTTTCCACCCATGTGCATCTTCAGGGAAGTGAAGAAATGGAAATCTGAAGGGGCCAGGTTAGTGCTGTGTCACCGTAAACAGTTTTCACGTCATTATATATTTCAACCGGAACTTTTTCCTTCGCAACGAGGTAGTTAATGACGAATTTCGCATTTAGCGGGATATATGATCGACAAATTTAGCGCGATATGCTACTGCGTCAAGAGTTTTCAACACACTATCTTCGGATTGGTCTTCTTTTGAAGGGGAGAGGTCTGGACACGCGGCAGTGTTACAATTAAATTATTCCCTACAGAGAGTACCAGTACACTTACTTTCCGGACGTGCCACGTTCTCTTCTCTAGATCTTTTCCTATTTTCATTTAGAGGAATTCAAACTAAGTAGGAAAAACAAAACGTAAAATAATTGCGGGGATTTTCCTTTTCTGTCTGCGCACTTTGTGTTAAAAAAAAAATTCCCGATAGTGAATTAGCTAAGCACAGAATTCTACGATGAAAGCACCAGCGTTCGATCCAGGTACCTGGGTATCGCGCTTGCCACCTTGTTGAACTGGGAACCATTTATAAGGCCGTCTTTGCTCGACATGGTTTTCTATCCTGAATCGCTCCCCGCATGAAGCAAAGTCCGACTGGGTGATGCCTGGTACCGGGGAGCGAAGGAGGCGATCTTCCTCTTTCTTCAACATCTGCACGCTCTCCAGGTTCGGGTCTGTGCGGCTTAGCTCCTTCTGTAATGTTTTTGTGGAAGTTGTGTTAAAACTGATATGACCTGCTTCCGTGACCGTTGGCGACACCCAGAGAGGCTAGAGTTAGCAGTCAAGAATTTCACTAACGGTTTGTCTGGCATCCCAGCCAAGGTTGTTTTTCAATAAAACCCTAAGCTAAATACTGAATTATTGCGGACGGAGCATGCTGCATTTCCCTTTTTGTACGGGATAATACAGTGCCAATCGTATCGTCTATCACTTTATAGCGAACGGTCGTGATTTTGTTTTGTGTTCCGAATTGTTGTGTTTATTTGTGTTAAACCACCAGGGTTTCTTCCAATTCTTCGTTAAATATAATTAATTACATACACCGATTAACTACAGCGTATGCATGTGCTTTTCTGTGTAGTTTATACATATCTATTTATTACTACTTTTAGTTTTGTGCAGAGACGGTTTTACTTTCCTTTTGTTCTCATCCCGTCCTTTTTTTTCTGCCCGCTTGAGAGTCGTTTGCTTTTAGCTGCACCTAAGTGGTTTGACGCTCGCGCTCAAGCTCTATTGTTCTCTTGCTCTCTTACTCTCTCTTTAATTCTCGTTTCCTATTTTTTCGGACTTCATAACGTGGACAATGCACTATGGTCCAGAAGTTGATTTTTTTGGCATAAATTCGAAATTTTCATGTTTATATTTGTATTTTTGATTTAAAATTATTAAAGTTAAAATATCAAACATAAACAAAACTAAGAAAATATGCTTTACAAGCTTCTCTGAAGTTTTTAATGAGCTTTCAAAACCATACAATCGAATAGCTGTTTGGTAATAAGAAATTGGCGGCCAATTGCTGTGTTTAGTTTTTTACGTGAAAATAAAAATTCTTTGTCCGAACAAACTATTGATAGTAATGGAAATTGTAAATCAAGGTATGTATTTTTTACTGAATATAGTCTGTTAATGTGTAGTCTTAGTGTTTGTGTTTTGTTTAATGTTTAATTTATGTGTATTTTCTATAGAAAATTAACATGCGTCCCTTGTTTTTCGTGGAAAAAATCTAACGACCTGACGGCTGCTGACAAAAACTAATTACTTCAGTTTGTACTAAAATATGTCGTTCTTTATCGGTAATTAACAACTTTTCCCCGTTCGTCCCCCTTTTCACACAATTCCGCAATATTTAGCGACGTTCGAATTTCGCCATAGCGATCTCTTCGATATTTGGCTCAGCAATAATCGCAAAATATCATCTGTGTTAGATTGCATTTATGAGAAAATGAGCCATTACCACGTCGAAGATGATAAAAAATTAGAAATCAATATTAAAAATCAATTATTAAAAAAATGACTACCAAAATGGAATACCAGGAAAAAAATGTTGAATGATATGATATGGGCCTACGAGTAAGCGTGCCAAAGCAAAATGGTAGCGGGAACAGCAATGACGGTAATACAGCAAGAAGAGCTTTTGCAAATATTGAACAAATATCACCCATAACCGGCTTTGACAAAACCCTTTTAAATAATTTTCACGTTATATTAATAGCAGTTTCATGTAACTTTTATATAAACTCTGACAAATTTCAAACTTTTTGTAAGAAAACGTTTTGCCTATATATGCATAAATACCCGTGGTACCCCATGTCACCAATGATTCACAAAATATTAGTCCACGGTTTTCAAATAAATAATTCAACGTTAGTTCCACTAGGATGCTTAGGCGAAAATGCTTCAGAAGCCCGCAATAAAATCTATAAAAAAGACCGACTCTCACACGCAAGGAAAAATAGCCGAATCAATACTATGACTGACATTTTCCACAGGGCGATCGATTCCTCGGATCCGTTACTACCTAGTGTCTGTTTAAGGGAAAGAGAACTAAAAAACACAAAAAAAGCTATTCCCAAAGAAGTATTAAGCCTTCTGGAGCTGCCGTCAACCGAGAACAACATCCCATTTGAAAAGGAATTGCAATCTGATTGTGATTCGGATGACGACTTGAACGAAGGCAGCTCAATAATACTAGAAGAAGAAGAAGAAGAATATAATGTTTAAGACAAAACCCATACATAACATATAAATATGTACAGATATACATATATAAATGTAAGTATATTGTCTGAATTCAGCTTCATACTCAATTTCTAATTATAATACTACGAATCGGTTCGTATGGGAGGCAATAGAGGGCGTGGTCTCACAGACTCAAAAGTTTTTTTTACATTATTGTCTTTCTGAAAAATCATAATGTGCAAAGTTTTAGGTCTGTAACTCTATTTTTTGAATTTATGCCAAAAAAATTGACTTCTGGACCATAGTGCAATGGTTCAAGAGTTTGTGATAATGTCCTTAGGTATTGTCTGCGCAATTAAAAATTGCAGTAAATGTGTTTCAGCTGATCAGGATTCAGAAACCGAAACGAGCATGGGGACAACGGTAACAGCTTCGCCAGTAATTCCCATCCACAGTCGAACATGTTGGCCGAGCCGCTCGTCGAGCAAAAATTTCATTTGCCACCAACTAGTGGCAACATGCTCGCAAACATCATTTGCTGGCAAATCTTTGAGAAGCAAACATGGCAACGGACAACGACAGCGCCACTTTTTTTGCACTTTTGGCAATTAATGTTTGCGCCTTTGGCTGGAAAATAAAGTTTTCAATTAAAATAAATAAATTTTTTTGACATCTTAGAGCTGCTCTATTAGGTGTTGTCGCTTCAAACGTTTGCTTCAAATGATGTTCGTGCCAACGTTGCCATCCATTGTCGAGCATGTTGTTGCGAACACAAGCAAGATAGAATGATTTCTATTTTGTTCGAGCGGCTCGACGAACACGAAATTTGTACGCGAGCACTAGCACTAACGATGAAAATTTCGTCGAGCTCAACATGCTCGGCCAACATGTTCTACTGTGGATGGGCCCCATTAATGTTAGAAAAACAATTTGTGCGCACACAACCTTTTACTATGAAAAACGAAGACGCTGAAGCAAAACCCGACCGCTTTGACTGCTGAAGGGACTACCTTCGTAATTTTATCGTGGTCTCTGGCATATGAAAACTTAAATTTTCCACCTTGACATTATCGGCTTGAGTTTTCCCTTGTATATAATTGTATCATGCCAGAGAAGTTTTATCATTTAAGATAACTGTCTCCTCAAACTTTTTCAGTCACAAAAAACTAACCTCCATCTGTCTGATAATTGTGTTAACTGAAACCTGGTCTGAAGATTGCACGGATATAGAATTTATCCGTGTGAAACTATCATTTCCAGGTAGTTTTATTTATATATCTTGATCGTATATCCCTCCATCGTCTGAAGCCAACTTATTGGAAACACCTTTCGGCAATTTAGGTCGTTTCCAAAAGGCTTTCAGATTGGGACCAACTATTAGCTATGGGGTACTTTAGTATACCTGTAGCTCGTTGGTCTTCTGATAGTGTGTCAAATGTCCTTCAGACTGCTGCACATCATGACCTCACAGATGGCTTGCTTGATTTGTCCTTATCTCAAGTTAACCATGTGCCTAATTCATTAAACCGTTTACTTCTGTTTAAAAATGCTCTATCCAATAGCTTCAGTGTAACGTCTGGCGTCCCACAAGGTCGCCACCTTTGTTAACTTTGCGTGCAGTATAGGGAAAGTCAATGCCAGTCAGACTTGCAATTGGATCTAAGCAACTTTCCGGCGTGGTGTCATGCTAACTCTTTACATCTCAACAGCTCTAAATGCAAACTGTTGACATTTTCCCCGAGGCACACCAATGTTTACCACTTATATGCTTAACGACTGCGCTTTGGAAAGAATCTCTCTTGTTGACGATCTAGGTGTCCGACTAGATCCTAAACTGTGCTGGGATTTATTTAAATAAAATATACAAAATAAATAAAACAAAAAATAAATTAAAAAATAAAATATATAACATAAATGAAATAAATAAATAATAAATAAGTAAATAAATAAATAACATTGCCCAGCTGGCGCTCTCGTGGAGGGTTCAGGTAGAGGATTTTGGCCAACGTATTTTTATTTATATTTATTCATTTATATTTTTATACATACTGTTTGGAGTAGTCTTTGTTAAAGAAAAATGTGCAATTCTTCGTCATCTAATTCATTTTTATATAGTGCCAACATATTCTGCCGCAGTCTGCATACTTCCTGTTGCTAAACAGCCCAAAAAGTTGGTAACTTATTCCGCAGAAGCCACTTTAACCCGTTTGGTGTTTCGGTGAGCTGTTATCAGATGGAGGATGTAGATGTAACTCACACACACGGATGGACTGTAAAAAAAATATATTTAAAAACTGTATCTCGTAGGATTAGAAATAAATCTAAGATCAAGCTAGCTATCTAAGGAATTTCGTAAATGCTTTGCTTAAGATACGAAAATTTCAAACAGCCGATCTTCAAATCATTCAGTGTTGTAGTTAAAAGTGTACTTGAGGAATAATTGGAAACAAAATATTTATATATATGTATATAGAATTTATAAACCAACTGGATAGCGAAAACGTGGTTCCGATAAATTGAAAATTCCGACTTTTTCCTACAATATTTTTTTATATTTTCTGCATGCTATTTTACTGAAATATGTTCTGGGAAGAGATAAGCATATTATACCAGAGATATTTTGTTTTCCAGCTTTCCGCATATACACGTGAAATGATTGTGAACTTTCATTTAAACTGAAAGTCGAAAACATAATTAACAAAAAATTCTTGTGAATAGAAAAATATACAATTTGTTAATTCTTTTTTAATAGATCACCTTTAATACAGTTAATTTAATTGAAAACTTTTAAATTTATCATAGTTGTAAAATCCAGCTCGCACTTGTCGGCCTCCAAAGAAACGTCCATTTAGGTCCACCACAGCTAGGGATCAATAAAAAAGATTAAAAGTTAATCAAACAAGTACACTTTCCAGAAAACTATGCGCATATTATTCAAATATGCGTGAAGATGTGAATTTTTATAGTGTGGTGCTTTTCATACAAATTTATTAGTACTAAATTCTAAGGTATGCAACATTTTACATGCATTTTTTGTATTTTAATATTTTTCATTTAATGTATTATACTATTTTCGAAAAGAAAACAAAGTCATAAATGGGTTGGTCGAAGCTGGGTAGAACACTATATTTTTTAAAGCATTTTTACTATATAAGGAATACATGCAATTAGCTAAATAATGACAGAATATACATAAAGCTTTGGGATTGCTCGATAATATGCTCTTGCTCTATTTTATTTTTTATTTTTTTTTTAGAAAGAATGGTACCCATATTGGTTTTCAGTACACACTGCTCGGTCCATTTAATATATTTCATAAACAATAAACACCAAATTATAATAAAACATCATACATATGGGAATTTCCAAAATCATGCACAACCTTTGATTTTAAGTAATTTTTATTTTTCGGATAATTGTTTTTGCAAAAATTCAATTCAAATTCTAGTTTTGACACTTTTGGAACGCTTATATTCATATTGTACTATGATTGCTAATCATATATTTTCTTTTGCATTTATTTCGACTCTGCATTCCCTGAGTTATATTAAAAAGCAAAAGTCAAAGGATAATGCATTTGTTTTAGACTTTTATCAGAAAAAAGCATGCTTTTTTAATTTCTTTTTTCATCAAAATAACTAAAATTGCGTTACACGACTTTGCAAACGAATATTTTAAAAATTGTTTTAAATCAACTGTCCATTTCTGTCATTTGGGGATCCTTATGCTGAAATAACCATATGGGCAATTCTCTGGTGTCGAATGCGACTTTCGTACGCATTCAAACTAAAAAAAACAAGTGCCAAGACTTTATTTTAATTTTATAAAAATTGAAACGTATAGCTGTATAATATATATAGTATATAGTATAATTGGTGCTAAGGTCGATTTTGAACCCTTGTTTGCTTTCAAGATATTCACTAAAATATACTGCGTTCGCACGCGGCAAAAAACCAGTTTAAGCTCTGATTTCTGCGAAACGTGATGAAAAATTGTAGTACAATAAATTTTAATGAATTACGCAATGAATTCTCTTAATAATGTATTTTGTTTGATTTTAAAATATTAAGTAGTTATTTTTTAAATTCAATTTTAGTCCCGGTCGCACACGACATTTTGGAAAGCGATAATTTAAATTAAAATTCTACGACTATTGGTAATCGCATATGTCCTTTTGCATTTCACATTGACTTTTTGGGTTTTTTATGTCATATTAGAAACCAAAAGTCAAAGCAAAATGCTTCGATTTAAGAGATTGGCATCAAAACAAAACATGCCTTTTTTTGATAAAAAAAACATTATTTGCGTTTGCTCTTGTTTGAAATCGATTTTTTTGAAACTTATTTTAGGAAATGAAAAATTCTCTTAGTCTTGATCATCCTGACCAATTTTTTAAATAATCGTGCTAAAAATACTCGTTTTTAAGCAAATTTAAGTTTTTGGCCGCGGTGGACCTTTCTGGAGAATCGCCCATATACTATTGTTTCTAAAAAAAATTTAATTTTATATTAATGCATATTTTTAGCATATATGTATATATGTATGTAAGTTTTCTGGCAAGTGCGGTAACAAAATTGATTATCTGTACCTTTGATAGCGCTTTCAATGCGCTTAAATTCCACAAATATTTTAACAGCATTTTCGGGAATTGTGCCAAATGCCTCGTGGATGATAACGCTTTTTACTTCGCCGTATTTTGTGTTACACTCGTCCTTTACCTCTGGTTCCAGATCCTCGTCAACGTCTCCGGGCCCCACCATATTACGAAGGAGGACCACCTTGCTAGGGGACTTCATGATCTCTGTTATGCTGGGCTCGTCTTCGCCGTTGGCAGGAGGCGCTGGGCATAACAGCTGAGGTGGTTGAATTTCTAGTTCGGATACCGACTCAATGGGGCCAGATGGCGGCGACGATGGCGCCAGAAATACATCTTTTTCGTGAATGATACGTCCCCCTCGCTTTGAAGTCTTCTCTACTTGCAGGGCCATCGACATTCCTTGTTCTGACTTTCCAAGGCCCTGGCCATCTTTAAAGCCATATTTGGCCATAATCTTGGCGGCCACCGAGGTGGCAGAATATGGTATGGTAACGTTTGACGATCCGTCTCCATTTTCAATGGATATTTCTTGGAGGGAAGGCGGTGGAGCAATGGCGGCTCCACCCCCCTGTTTAGAAACAAAACCAGGGAGCGGTGGACTATACCTTTCTTCGGCGTTTTGTCGACTACCAAATCCGCCGAATTTTATATTCGGCGGGGACAATTCATCTCTGTTGCCCTCTCGTCTTCCACCGCGTCCTCTTTTTCGCTCCCTGTCTCTGTCGCGTTCCTCGCGACAGCTTCCACTGTTGTTCCCACCATTATTTCGGGATTTATCTCCAATCTTGGTCTTTTCCTTTAATTTCTCATATTCATTTGGCCACTGAGGGTCGTATTCGTCTACATAGTCCCACTCGTCAATTTTTAAGCTCTCTAGCATGAGCGGCGGCAGAGCCTTGCCTGTAATTACGGGCTTTGTCGTCGCCACCGGCCCAATGGGAGCTAGGGATATTGGACTCTCTGCCTCTGCAGGACGCTTGGCTCGCAAGTTGACAACTGGAGTCATCAGCTTAAATACGGTTGGTGAGATGAGTTCTTAAAATGGATGGCGGACAGACACTTACAGGTTTCTTGACGGCTTTCTTCACTGCTAGCTGCGTTTGTAACATTTTTATGCCTGATGACCACCCATCTATCTGGCTAGATCTTGGCTTAGTGTCGATATCGTCGTACAGATCCATTGGAGTCTTTGCCCAAAAAAATTATTTTGAAATATAAAATTTACAATATAATACATTGGAGATGGGCTCGCAACACACGATAGTATTGATCGATACATCGATATATAATTTAAAAAATAATAGTTTAAAAAACTAAAAAAACACGCTTTTATAAATAACCGAACTAAAAAGAAGAAAATAATTTATAATTACAAACAAAATTATTAAATTCAGAGTTAAAAGCGTGGAGTGCATCTATAATCAATGTTATAATTATTCTAAGGGCAACTATCTGTAAGGGGAGAATGATGAAGATATAGAAAAATCCTACAAATAACAGTTTTACTGTACAATGTTTCGCTAAGTACATGATTAACCATTGTTCCAAACAATGAAAAATGTATTTCTGTGAACATAAAAAAAATTATGTACTATTGCTCTGAATTTAATAATTTTGTTTGTAATTATAAATTATTTTCTTCTTTTTAGTTCGGTTATTTATAAAAGCGTGTTTTTTAAAACTATTATTTATTTTTTATGTTTTAGTGTGAATTTGTCAACACTGACGATCCTAATCAGGATAATTAAAAAAAATTTTATCAAATTATTGCATTGTCATCGGTCCTTAAGATATTTCAGGTATTTGAAAACCCTTCAAAAAGTGTTCAAAGATTCCGTTACATACATACATATGTACATACCCTGCAGTACCGCATGTCATCAATAGGCCACTGTCATCGGCTGTCATCAACGCGCCGACTGCGACTTCTACCGAGTCGACGCTCTGCCGACTGCGATTTCTACCGAATCGACCCTCTGTCGACTGCGACTTCTACTACGACGCTCTGTCCACGATACAGTTACGGCGGTAGCCTAAACGGCAGTCGTCGGCAGTACCATGGCCCGGCCGTTGATGAATTTGTTTGATGAAACATCGATGAATTTTTGATCAAACATAGATGAATTATTGATGAATTTGTTGATGAATCATCGAAGAATTGTTGATGAATTTTTGATATATCATCGATGATTTGTTAATGAATTGTTGTTGATGACAGCCTAGGACATTCCCATGTTAAATTCATCAACAATTTGTATGACCATTCATCGATGAATCATCACAAACACCGCCTTGACTGTTGATGAAACGTTAATGAATTACTGATAACTGGTACTGCAGGGTAGATACATACAGACATACTGTCGTGCTTCACTTGGATTTGCCTTTAACGACTCCACATCTCTGGTTCGTGCTAAACAATAGGGAAGACTCCTGGTCCGAGGCCGACAATTAGATGTGACGTTTGTACGTTTTATTCTGCGGAAAAATGAACTTAAACTTAATTTTTACACTTTTATAACTCTCACACGCGCTTACCGCAGTGTGTTCTCCTAATTTTCGCACGACAATAGACGCTCAATTTTGGCGGTTAACTTAACGGTAAAAATAAATAAAATATGCCCCTTTCTCTTGGGCTCAAAATCCATCAGTATTTTTTACGTTATTCTTAATATACTAACTACGCCTATCGATTACAATATTCGAGCGTCGACATCCCCGACCCTGTGAAGAACCGCTTCACTCAATTCAAAACCGCAAGTTTAGAGACGGGTCGCATCATTGTCCGAGATAGGCCGTTGTCGTTTATGCGCACTGTAGCGCGTCTGGCGACTCCATCAGCTCCGTTGTAGACTTCCTCCACGATGCCCTTGCGTGACTCTCGTCGGGGCAAGGCAGGATCACAGATGAAGACCATGTCGCCCTGACGGATGGGCTCCGTCCTCCTGCACCACTTCTCGCGCCGCACCAGCGTAGGTAGGTACTCCAGGACCCACCTCTTCCAGAAACGGTCTCTCAGCAGGCGAGCAATCCTCCAGTGCTTTCGTGTAGAGCATTCCTTGGGCAACTCCGCACTCAGGCCAGGGGTATCCGGCAGATTGGCTACTCCGTTGAGTAGGTCATTCGGCGTCAACGGTGCTTCCTGGTCCGCTTCCACCGGCAAATGGGTAAGCGGACGCGAATTTACGACATTCTCCGCCTCTATCAGGAAACTCTCCAAAACATGTTCCCTCGGTGCGACTTCCTTTAGGGTATGACGCAGTACTCTTTTGACGCATTGCACCATTCGCTCCCATATTTCTCCCTCAGACGGGTTCGCTGGGCAGTTGAAGATCCATTCAATGCTTCTGCTTGACAGCTCATCCTGAATTTTCTCCGTCTCGAATACGTCTCCAAAGCGCCTGGCCTCCCTGTCTGCTCCCACGAAGTTCTTGCCGTTATCACTGCGAAGATTGTGTACTGGTCCTCTACGGCAGACGAAATTCCTAATTGCGATGATGCAGGAATCCGTCGACATGTCATGTGCCAATTCCAGGTGGATCGCCCTTGTCGTCAAGCACGTGAACAAGGCGACCCAACGCTTCTCCTTGTGACGGGAAACAGTCACCAACAGTGGCTCAAAGTAGTCCAATCCTGTGTAATTGAATGGCCAACCACCCGCTTCCAGTCGATCTTCTGGATGGGGTCCCATTATCGGCGGCACCGGCCGGGCTCGCTGCAACATGCAATCGTTGCACGAAGAGATCACTTTTTTCATAACTCGCCTCAACTTCGTGACCCAGAATCTCGTCCGGATCTCCGCAATCGTCGCATCCACGTTTTGATGCTTCATTTTGACGTGGAAGTGATTGACGATCATCTCCGTAAGATTGTGCCTGTGCGACAGTATTACGGGCCTCCTCGCACTATACGGAACGCATAATGCGGCATCAATTCTGCCACAAGCTTGCAGAATTCCGTGGTCATCCACGTAGGGCATCAGCCCTCGAATGTCGCTCGTCATGGCTTCAGCCTTTCCGCATCCCATCGACCTCATCTCGTCGGGAAAAGAATCCAATTGAGCCTGTCTGATTAACAGGTTCTCTCTAGCCTGACATTCTGCTGCTGTAAGGCCGTATTCCTCGAGCACGCTTCTCTGTTTACGGCACCGGCGCGTAAACCTCAAGACCCACGCTGTGGTTCTAACCAAGCGACTGAAGCTCGAAAACCTCTGGAATGAGATAACAAAATCATTCGCCGCAACCAAGACAAACTCACTGGGCATCTCCTCTTCATCAGGGGCATCTGGAACACGCTTATTCTCCTCTTCAAGCACCGGCCAGCTGTTTGCTGGCTGCCTTAAAAAGGCAGGTCCCCGGAACCATCGGGATTCCTGACTAAGGTCCACTTCTCTTTGCGACCGAGTCGCATCAATCGACGCATTTTCGGCTGTAGGTACCCATCGCCAATGGGAAACCTTCGACAAATCCAAAATCTCCGACACTCGATTGCCAAGAAACTGCTTGTACCGGCGGTGTGTGCTGCCAATCCATCTCAGCACCGTCTTCGAGTCTGACCATAAGACCACGTCGTTGATGACCACACTGTGCTCCTCCTTGACAGAGTTCATTAGTCTGGTTCCAAGAACTGCTGCTTGCAGCTCCAGCCGTGGGATCGACATCGTTCTCATAGGGGCACACTTCGTCTTTGCGCATACGAAGTTCACCAGCACATTATCGTCCTCATATGTGACCCTCCAGTAGGCCACCGCCGCGAATGCAGATTGACTTGCATCCACGAACACGTGCAGCTCTATGGCTCTAACTGCTCCGTGCCCAAAATAATGGCGAGGACAACAGAACTGTCCCACGGCATCCATTTCTTTACGCCAAATCGCAAAGGCCTTGCCAATCTCCTTCGGTAGTGGTTCATCCCACTGGATCTTCTGCCTCCAAATCTCTCTCAGCAACAGCTTCGCTGTAATCATCAGGAAGAGCACGGCTGGCAAAGACTTGTAGTGATGAGGTCCTGAGGCTGCGACCTGTGACACGAGCTTCACACCAAAGTTCTCCAAATCGAAGTAATCTTCTACCATTTTTTCCACCGTATCATCCATCGACACGGCAAGTAGGCAGGCCTCGGTGGTGGCGAAGTGAACTGCCCCTTTACGGGCCCGAACACAACCCAGCCTAGCTCGGTGGCAGCTGCATACGTTCCCTCACTGGCAAATCGCCTAGTTCTCAATGGCAATCCCAGGTGTCCATGATCCAGGCCGATGAGCAACTTCGGCACCACATTGCTGTAAGGCTTCATCGGCAGACGCGCATCCTTATGCACACCCTTGACATTTGCCGACTTAACGTCTGCATCGGTAGGCTCAAGCTCGAAATGGCATACACGTTTCTCAGTACATGGCGAGTGGATTTTCCAACTCCACTTATTTTCAGACTCACTACGTTCGTGGTCTCTCTGGATGCCCTTCCTCCAAACCATTGGATATTTAGCTGTCGGCGCTCTCCTTGTATTCCCAGATCCTTCCGTAGTTCGTCGTCGATCATCGTAACGGAGGATCCTTCATCAAAGAGCGCGTACGTATTCATCGCCCGTCCGGCTCCGTACAGCGTTACTGGCAGTATACGGAACAGAAGGCGGCCTCCCTCGGCATCAACGCAGCTTAGATTCCTCTGCACAGGCGAATCCGCTTCCTGCGGTGCCCTTCTCTCCAGGCTGTTTACGGCGGGCTGTTGGTTCGCCTCGTGGTCCCTGTGACCGTCTCGTGGTAAAGACCTCTTGTCCGGGCTGTGTCTGGAAACCGCTGGCTGCTGGTTCCCTTCGTTGTGGCGACTGTACCCACCTCGTTGCTGCGGCCTTTGCTCATCGTCCGCGTCATGGTGACGGTGATGCAACTTGCGACAGTCATTAATCTGGCACTCCCTATGCATATTGCAAAATCTCGTCGTGTGCCCACTTCGTAAGCATGAGAAGCAGAGCTTATGCCTCTTCACCATGCTCCACCTGCCCGGTGGCAGAGTTCCAATAAATTCCTTGCAGTTCGTAACTGCGTGTTGTCCGCCACAGATTGGACAACATCCGTGGCGATCATCCTGTCGATCGCATTTCTTGGCGTCGATATTAGCATGTAGAACTCGACGCTTCGGCTCCTGTTCCTCTACATCCAAAACGGTACACAAAACGTTTGCGTAGCCCTGTAACCATGCGCTGAAGTGCACTATAGTGGGGAAGGGCTGGATCGTCGCAGCATACTTGGCCCAATCCACCCGCTTGCTCGTAGGGAGCTTGGCCACAAGCTCCTCCATGAGGGATGGGTATGCTGCTCCGCGTTCGCCGCGTGCAAGAAAGCCATGAGGTTACTCACTCGGGTAGCGAAGGGAACAATCTTCGCTAGATTGTGCTCCGAAATTGGTTGCACTTCTCGCATGTTGTTCAGCTGACTGCGTATAAGCTGCTCCGGTCGGCCGAACCTAAAGCGCAGCTGCTCCATCACGGCGCTGACGTTCCCTGGATGAATCAATAGCGACTTCACTGCCTCGCGAGCGTCATCCTTTAGCGCCTTCAACAACCTTTGATTGTTCTCCAAATCCGTGCAGTTATACGCCCGTGTCGTCTCAGTGAATGCACAGCTGAAAATCGGCCTTTCCTCTGGCTGACCTCTAAATATAAGCAGATCTGGGAGCTTTCGTGGCCCGTATGTTCCTTGAATTCCATTCGACGTCAATATAGTGGGGAATCCGACAAGTGGCGAAACTGATGCCACGTTGCGCACATTCACGCTCGGTAGTGTGAATCCATGCGCCGTCTGCGCAGTGCTTGCTGTGAACGGCGGCCCACTGCAAGGTGGCGGCAGCGTGCAGGACGCGCTATACCCACCGACACTGTGATAGGGCGCCGACCCGACCCCGTTACATGAGGTCTCCTCAACCGATGTCGCTAATGGCGGACCGCTCCAAAATGGCGGCCGGCCTGTCGCCACACTGTGCGCGCCAACTGCGACTGGCGCACAATTGGCGGTGCCCACGCTTCCCAGGGCTTTAACCTGCTGCAGCTTATTTTCCAGCGCTGCGATCCTCGCCAGGAGATCCAACGTGAGATCCTCTCTGGCATTGATGTTCGCAGTTGAGGCTGCAGTGCTTCCATGTTGGGGAGCTGATGTAATCTCCGTAGTTGCTGGGCTAGGTATAGCCGCTGCCGTGGTTATGTCTACCAGCGGCCAGGTTTCTGTTTCACTACTCACTGGTTGCTGATCCACTCGTGTTGTTATAGGGGTGGCTTCACCTCCATTCAGCCGGGCGCTCCTCCTGGGTGAGCGCTGCATCTTCCCGATTCCAATAGGGCGCTGACTTAGCGCACTTCAAATGGCGTACCTGTGCCTCCTTGTCGCTGACTGCGACTACTGACGCCGCCCGCGTCTCCTTGTCGCTGGCTGCGACCACTAACGCTACCCGCGTCTCCTTGTCGCTGGCTGCGACCACTGACGCTACCCGCGCCTCCTTGTCGCTAGCTGCGACCACTGACGCTACCCTCGTCTCCTTGTCGCTGGCTGCGACCACTGACGCTACCCGCGTCTCCTTGTCGCTGGCTGCGACCACTGACGCTACCCGAGTCTCCTTGTCGCTGGCTGCGACCACTGACGCTACCCGCGTCTTCTTGTCTCTGGCTGCGACTTCTCCATCAACATGTGGGGCACTGCCTGCGCTCCCAAGTTGCTTTAGCAGTCTCTATCGGACTGCGAATAAAAGGAGTTGTCGTGCTTCACTTGGATTTGCCTTTAACGACTCCACATCCCTGGTTCCCGCCAAACAATAGGGAAGCCTCCTGGCCCGAGACCGACAATTAGAAGTGAAGTTTGTATGTCTTATTCTGCGGAAAAATGAACTTAACCTTAATTTTTACACTTTTATAACTCTCACACGCGCTTACCGCAGTGTGTTCTCCTAATTTTCGCACGACAATAAGATAGAGGTGCAAAAACATCGAGTGAAACATCGATGTTATCGATGTTTGCAAATCATCGGAACCATCGATGGCTGGGTCACCACCATCGATGTTTTTTCACACAACTCCGAAAAAGAAAACCTTAGAGAAAATGAAAACCCTTTAAAATATTGGAAGGAAAGTTTTTAAAATTGTTATACGGAAAATGCTAAATAACCATTTTTTTTATAGATGAGTACTGATTACTGCTCTTTAAAATTGGTATCAGCCAAATACTTGTCTAAACAAGTCATGCGAAGCGGAAAGAGTGTTCAGCAAAGCTGGACAAACCATTAGTGACCGCAGGACAAGGCTCTGTGAACAAGCTTTTATTTAACAATAAGAATTCACATTTCAATGATACTATTGATAGTCCTGATATCACAGATCTCGAATAAAATCTAGTCATATTGTTAAATTCCATATTTTTTAGAAACATCGATGTTTCACTCGATGTTTTTTTTTTTAACATTGAAAACATCGATTGACGCACACATCGATGTTTCTGCATCCCTACAATAAGACGCTCAATTTTTGCGGTTAACTTAGCGGTAAAAATATGCCCCTTTCTCTTGGGCTCAAAATCCATCAGTATTTTTTACGTTATTCTTAATATACTAACTACGCCTATCGATTACAATATTCGATCGTCGACACATACATATGTACATACATACATCCCGAACTAATAAAAGCGTGTTAAAAATGATTAAGGTTGAATGAATATAAATAATGTGTGAAAATATCACGAACAGAATACAGTTATTCCCATACATATTGGTCCTTCGATACTTTTGGTCATTCAACGGCCTTAAGAAATTGGCAAAATGACAAAATAACTACTGTGGGTATACATTTAAGTTTCGGAATGCAAAATGAAAGGACCAATACTTTAAAATAATTTAAGATAATGTAGGAGAATACAAATGACATTTCTAAAAAGTTATCCACGCCGAATTATTGAAAATATATATGTTTTCGTATCATTAATTATAATTATTATTTTTAATAAAAACATTCATACCAGGCTTAAAGAATGAAATATTTACATATTTTGGTTCAATCGACGCCGAATTTATCGACTTTTTTAATTTAATCTGATATCGTCTATCCTGCACTTATTAATTTCAACTAATTTTTACCGGTTAGAAAATTTATCCATTAAATATCCCTCCATCTTGGCTTTAGAATATAAACGATTATTTTGTTTTTCATTTTTAGTATTTTGATCCAGCAAATTTTATATTTTCGATACACATTTTATGTCCCGCCCGAGCAAAAAATCAAAAACTTCTTTGTTTTCTTTTTGCTGCAATTTTTCATATCGAATTTTGCCGCTTGAGAAATACTAATAAATTATTGCCAATTTTAAATGAAAAATATTCTCTTCCTTTCCACTAAGTTCATCAGTGAGAAACATTTTAGATTTTTAATAAATATTTACCTATTATTTCCACAGTCCAACCTTCCACTATCATCCGATAACCGATATTTGAACACATGCAGGGCATCCAAAACACAAGCAAAAATGGTTGGGGCTGCTTCTGCGCACCTAATGTAAGCTTTTTACAAACTATTTTGCTTGTTCAAGAACAGAAATACCGATGATTGCTGAAAAATTTATAGTCAATTAATAAAAAAGAATTCAATGACAAGGAATTTTAGATTCTATGTTGATTTTTTTGTATCCAAGGGAAAATGCCCCGAACAGTTGGCTCAGTAATTAAGGCTCTCGGTATCTATTATAAATAAATTTGAAGTATTCTAAAAAAACAAGATGGAAGCAATTTGGGACATTTTAATACAAATACATATAAGTAGCTTTGAATATTAAAAAAAAAAAACAAAAAGGAAGTGATAAATGTACCTCGAACTGAATAATTTTATACACGCACCAAGTTGAAATTGGCAAAACAACAATACCTACAACAATATGCAACATGAAGCATGATTTAAAATAAAAATAAATAAAATACAAGTCCAGCTCGAAATTAGTGCGTCTAGTTACAACAATCAACCCTAATTTATTCCAAGAAAGTATTTCAAAACCTATTTCTGTCCTGAATGATAGAATTAGCTTCCAATTTGATATTCCATTAAATATTCAAAATTAAGTTAGTCTAGGTTAACCCTTAACCTTTGACCCATAGATCTCTGGATGGGTTCGTGGGAATCGATGTGTTTATGGCGAAGAAAAGTTAGCAGTATGTCCTCCTGGCGGCATCTTCTAGCGATGCTAGTGACGGGTACCTTGGTGCTCTATTCTTGTCTGTGTTAGGACCAGATACTTGCGCAGATAGATGATCCAAGGTTTCGATTGCTACGGATTCAACTTCAAAAATTTACTGCTGTTGCCAATGTTGATGATATTAACTTAATTCCGACTAACAGCTGAGTTCTTCATTACTATCTTTGCACATTTGTTTTTTTTTTTTCTATTTTCCAGGCCGCGAAGTTTCTGCATCTTCGTTTGGCTCGTGCTTCCGCCCGATTCTCTGCTTCGCTTTGAAGCGTTGTTGTGGACTCAGGCACGTTTAATATTCCTTTATTTGAAAGTCCGATGCTTTCCTTGCAAGTTCGTCCACCGTGAGGTTGCCATCAATGCCCTGGTGACTGGCATAGTCGTGTTCAAATTATCTAGTCGCTCCTTGCTTAGGAATGTATTTTTTGAATTGACCGTTCTTGTTTTGGTTTCCGAGAAACATGTATTCAGATGTACTGATTATGTTTCTATATATTGAGCTGTGTCCGAATCCTTTTAGAGACATGTAGTTTCCATGGACGGTTACCTATAGTTAAAGAAATGTTAATAAAAAAATGAATTTTAAAAATATTGAGCAATTACAAAAAAAGCAACTAAAATATTTGATTCCTCTTAATCTCTTTCCACAGAGATGCATAAACTAAACTATTAATTTTATGCTGGCAATCACTTCAAAAATCTTTGCTTGTTTAGCCACAACTTATTAATCTACTGTTATCGGGTGGTTGTTGCTCTGCGGTAATCGTTCGAAATGCTCTACCTAAGGTTGGGTTCTTTTTTTGTTTGAAATAATAATGGGGTACAAGATTTTAGCACATTTTATATTTAAGTAAAATTTCCAAAAATAAAATCCTTGAAAACACAATGACATGAATCTTAAAAATATTTGTTTTCGATGTATCGATATATCGTTGATTTTTCTTCCACCACTATTCTTTACGAAAACAATGGGGAATGAGGGAAGCAAATTAGGGGGTTTAATTATTGAAAAAAATGCGGTTGAAGCCAACGATTTTTGGACTTTGTACAACGCCGAATCATCGGCCTGCTCAAATGAAGAAGGAAGCAACATGCTTTTATCTATATTCCAGGGTGAGGACTTTGTTAAGGGTCAGTTGTGGGCCGAGGGTACAGGTCCAATGGAAAGGTGCATAAAGGTATATAAAGGAAAAGGCATCCATCAAAGGCAATCAACTAATTAATTGCTTTTGTTTTAGAACCTTATGGTCTACCGGCATCCGTATATATTAAAATACATAGCTACCTGGGAACAATCTGGCCAGAAGCATCTAGCTACGGAGAGAGTTCGGCCCTTAAACGAGGTTTTGGCCGAGCAAAGTGGAATGCAAATCTGCCTTGGCCTACGCACAATACTGTGTAGTCTTATATTTTTAATAGAGAAAGCTCTGGCTCGACATTTGAACATAAACACCCATTCCATTTATGTGACGGACGGTGGTAGCTGGCGTCTCGCTGGATTTGAATATGTGTGGAAAGCAAATGAGGTGAATAGACAGTTGATCGATTTGGCACGTACTTTTATGGACCCAAACAACCGTGGCGAAGACTTTGAGCAATTTGCGTTTGCTACTCTGTGCGAACAAGTCTTGGACAAACAAATTAGAATGAACGACGTCACTCCACATATTCACGAGTTTCGCGAATACTGCCGTTCACATATGAAACACCAAAATAGTGAACTAAGGCCGATGCTTTCAGCTGTTTTACTGCATCCATTCTTTAATCACGAGTTTGTATTTATACATTCCTTTTTGTTCGAGCTGCCGTTAAAGTCCGTTCAGGAACGCCAGAATTTCTTTTCGACTTTGATTCAACGTCTCCGTTGTTTTGATGAGCAAGTGGTGGCCTCGGAACTAGGTAAAAGTTTGTTATCTAGAATGGTACTACTTGATCCAACAGCCCACCAGTTTGTAACACCCAATGTCTTACGAACAAAAGCCACGGCAGTTAAAGCAACAGTATTGTTCTCACCACAGATTTATGTCAAATATTTGCTGCCGCATATACTAAAGATGTTTCGTTTGCGTGATGCTCAGATTCGCTTAATACTCCTCGATTACTTCATGGACTATGTTCGTCTTTTAAGCGATGAACAGTTGATATCCGAAATTCTGCCATATTTGCAGCTCGGCATGAATGACACGAATGACGCCTTAGTTGCTAAAACGCTTAGATGCATGGCTGATTTGGTTCCCATTTTGGGGGCTCACAAAGTTCTAGGTGGCGATAATCGTAGAAGATGTTTCTCTGATGGTCGGCCGCACGCTGCTGTCTCCACAGATATACAGAACTTTGTGCTAGAGCCTCGATCTATTACTCCTTTAATGAACGGCAGTTCGGTCGATGTGGAGGAGGACGGCTTCATGGTGTCTGGTAGTCCCTTGCCAGCCGAGACAGCGAGCAATGCAGATCAATTAGAGCTTCGACTTAGTCCAGACGGAGGTGAAGATGACAAAGATGCTAATTTAAGTGAGAAATCCTCACTGGATAACAGTAACAGGTCCTTCAGCTCCGTTGGTGGAGCTTGCGAAAAACCCGTACTAAACGGGGATGAAGATTATATTTGGTCGGATTGGGATGTTACAGATGAGTTGCAACGATTAAAATTTAAGCAGTCACGAGAGGATGAACAGGCCAGTCAATATGATTTGGCTTCGAAAAATTTGGAAACCATTAATAGTGTCCCAATCTCACCAACTCAAACGGCTTCATATCCTATAGCCAGCTCTAACATATCCATGGGGGCAGTGAAGGGAAGTACGCACCTTATCGATGATCTTAGTACACTGGACATACAAGTGCAATTGATGACTTCAGCGGTCATCAGCTCAGAGTTAACCGAATTCGACTTCTTTAAGGACATGGAACCCGTCATTGAGACAAAAACAAGTGGCAGTAGAGTAGCAGAAGCTACCAGTAGCCGCTTTGCTGCAGCAGATTCATTAAACTTAAATGATGACAATCTGAATACAAAACCAGGCCAGGGTTGGTGTCATGACGAAGAAGAAGACGATGACGTTGTCTGGGGCATCACGAACGCGGGCACAAAAACCTAAGACGACACCTAAACTTATTATACAGAATAATAATGTTTGATAAGAGAATAAATTCAACGTTAAGCTATATAATAAAATCCACATCAAGAAAAGGTTAGCTCGAAATTAACATCTCGTTTTTCCTTTGGCGTCCATACAATAGCGATTGGGTTTGCTTCCACTTTCAGTAAAATGTGTAATTAAGAAAGTTAACTTCGGCACGCCGAAGTTTTTATACCCTTCCAGATTCAAATTCATTCAACTACAGTTACAGTTTTACAATCACAGTTTTGCATTTTCCTCTATATCTAACGAACATTAAAACTGAAATTCTAGAATAATAAAAAAATGGCTATATCACAAATTTGACGAAAATTTGTTGAAAACTGGAAAAGTACATTTTTTTCTAAGAATTTTCTCTTCGTTTCTATATCAGCCATATGACATAGTCGTTCTATCGGGACGTGGCTTGATCGACTCGGCTGTTGACGAAGAATATATGTACTTATGTACATATATGTTTTATATGGTCGAAAATGACTTCTTCACTGCGTTGCAAATTTCTGTCTGAAATTATAATACCCTGCAAGCGTATAAAACTAGTTAAAAAAGTTCGGTAGACGAAACCGAGGAAACGCGGATTAATTCCCATCCGTGTTACTTACTTGCATTTTTAAAATGAGATTAGGATTCCATTTGTTTGTGTATAACGCATTTTAGGAGTTCAGAATATATGTAAGTGGCAAAATCGATATCGTGAAGAGAAAACTTCTTCAGCTCTTATTTTTCTTTGGATTTAATAAGTTTTCATAGTCGGATTTTAAAGTAATCAAGAGCTAAATATGTCTAAAACTAGTTCCCTTTAATTGTGATCAAAGTTTAATTTAACTAGATATTTAATATAACTCCGAGAAAATATAGTTGTTTTACGCCCTTTTACTAAGATAATATTTACAAAGGTGTTGTACATGAGTTGTAACTATATATCGGTAGGTATCGATTTGATGCCTTTTTTGTAGAAAGATCATATATGTATAATAGACCCAACAAATACGCGTAAACTGAAAGGTCTTAACGTGAAACGTCTTTTGCCTTCAAATACAAAACATAAATCATTACAGATAGAATATTTTATGTAAAAAACTTTGACTAAAAATAAAAAGTGAGCGGACGCATAAAATTCCAAATTTTTATTTTTCGTCAACATCAAAACTGTTGTCTAATGCCCAGAAAAAGAGAAACAAAATCATATGTTTTTTGTTGAGCCTTAAGGGCCCATTAACTAATAATGGGCAGTTGGTTGTTTCAATATCTGATATAATGTAAATACATTCCTAAGTATTTTCAATATTTACTAGAAACATTTCTTCTGAGGAACCGTCACAAGCATTTAACACAATATTTCCTATTTACTTAAATGACATTCAGTATGTATAGTCACTAGCTAAATAAATAAAAGAATACTTAAAATTTTTAACTATTCGCTCATTTTTTATTTTAAAAAAGTATTTAATTACTTATTAATTTGCTTTTTTTCCATTCAACACATGCTCAATCTATATCAATTATCTTAGTAACCGCAAAATGACATTATTAAATTTATTTAAGATCAGCTGATTTTTTTGTTGTCTCTTAGTCTACACTCATAAAAATTGGTGAATTTTTTGTTTAAATCTGTGTATGTATGTATAATTGAAAGTGTATGTACTACAATCTGGTTTTATACAATTATTGAAGGTTTGCTTAAGGAGAATCACGAAAGTATTCGCTTTATGTATAGCTAGATTCCACTCCATGTTAGCAGAAGCGCTAAGCGAACTTTTTATAGAAGTTTTGTGTCGTTTCGTCTTTCGATTTGAAAGGCCGTGCGAGAAGACAATAAAATAAATATAAAAAATCTATATAAAAAGCATAGTTTTACATTCATTTTGAACAAGTATTTCAACTTAATTTTTTCCTTTGAACGTATGCTTTTGCCTCATTTTTCTTAGCTTTATCATGATTTTTCTCTTGCTGTACGTCGTAATCTTTCTCTCTTTTATTTTTTGTGTGTACGATATTGGGTGTGTTTTGTGATTGGTATGAAAGTGATATTAATTTAATTTTATTGTTTTTTTTTTTTTTTTTTTAAATGATTTTCTTATTGACAAAGGAGGGACAACAATTCTCAAATTTTTTCAATTTAGCTCCTTGTCCTCTAAGTACTTGTATTCAAAGGTGAATCCCTCCTTCTTGCGCTGACTCCACTTTTCATAGTCAAAATAGATGTACGTACCCTGGGAATTATATAATATTAAAATTATAATATATATAACATTTAATAGTTATAGTCAATAAGTTTTTTATCTTCTTATTTATTTCTGATTTTATATATAAAATCTTACCTGTTCGTAATCATCATTGATAATTTTGGGTTCCTCGTGACGTTGAAACCACATCATATATTTGGTGTGGAAACGCCAACTCTGTTTTTTTAATGCCTTGGCAGCCAAATATTGAGCCTTGGAGCCCTCCATATAATAGAACACAAAGAACAGCGTCTCCGTTGATAGTCGTTGATAGAATTCAACGGTATCATATATGGGCAGCTGTGACTATATTTAAATATTTATTTACTATATAATATAAATAAAATTTTAGAGCTCGCAAATGACAGTTGACTATTAATCCATCGCCCAAAAAGTTTGTAATTTTCAAAAACCTTTTAATGTAAATTATAGAATTATTGATTTGGGAAAAATAGGGTCCTAAATTTAAACCTCTTTCATTAGAATGCAAAAGTAAGACAATAAAAAGAACCATTTTCCCGCTGTAATTTAATCATGATTATTATTGTCCTACTGTTAATAAGTTGTTATTAGCACTATTCCATATTCTTTTCTTGACTAAATCAACAGAAATGAAGGTGTTGATAATAATGATTACGCATCCTGGCCTTAGATACTGATAAGGAGATCATTGGATAGTTAGGGTTAGATCACCCTGAACGCCTTAAAATGGGAGGGTATTTTAAAAATGTATTTTGCCAAAGCTATTAAAAAATTAACTTTTTATTGATTGGAATATCATAGTAAATATGTTAAACTAGAAAATATTTATTGGAAAAATACAAAATATTCACAAATGGTGGAGATATAGCCAATCTAATAAGGCAATTTTTTTAGTGAACAGTTGTATGGAGTACCTGCTGCATAGGACAGTTTTTCTCTGAAACCCGAAAACAAAATTTTTTTTAACTATATAAATATAGCTAACGTAGTCGGTATAGAAAAATACATTTTTTTGACCAAATAGGAGCACTTTGAAAAAACAATTTTTTGTATACGAAATTTGTGCTTTAAAAATGTATGATATAACTTAAATAAAAATAAAAAAGGAAACTAACTTCGGACAGACGAAGTTGCAGATAGAACTTCTATGACTAGGAATCCATACAATATAAATTATATATATTTATGTTAAAAAAATGAAGTAATACCTGCTTTCATTTCATTCACCTATACATATTATATTTACAGTTTTACATTCACAGGTATAAATATGGCTATAAAATATAAAATGGCTATATCTCAAATTTGATTAAAATCTGTTGAAAACTGAAAAAGCTATAATTTTTAATTGTATTTGTCGATCGTTCCTATGGGAGCTATATAGTATATAGAAGTCAAATTTTTGAAAATTGTACAAGAAATTGTAGAATAATTTAAGATGCCCATACCTAAAATTTTATTAATTTCTGTTGAAAACTAAAAATGTTAAAATTTTTGTTGTAAAAATTTTACGATCATTCATATGGCAGCTATATGATAAAGTAGTCCGATCCAGCCCGTTCCTACATATATACGAGTGAAAGTATATAGAAGACTAACCACAAAGTTTCATTCAGATACCTTTAAAACTGAGAGACTAGTTTGCTTAGAAACGGACAGACGGACATGGCTAGATCGACTCGGCTTTTGATCCTGATCAATAATACTATGTTGTTTGGTAATGACATACTGGTTTCTTTATTGATTTTTGACGACGACTGGCAAAAAAAACTCGTCGATTCGATTTTCACAATCCTCCCTTGAACTCAATTTATGTCCATCGAAAAAATTTTTCATGGCCAAAAACAGATGGTAATCGCTTGGGGCAATGTCCGGACTATAAGGTGGATGCATTAACACTTCCCAACCAAGCTCCCTTAGCTTGTGATACGTGCTTAGTTGCAGCTCCTCACATGACGATCTCGATCCACTAATTCCATGATTTTATCCGTATCAACGGTCACTGGTCGTCCGGAAGGCTTGGGTGTTTCGGTATCAAATTGCCACTTCGGTATCGCCTAAACCACTGTTTGGCGGTTTGAATCGAAAGTTTGTTATCTCCTAAGGCAGCAATAATCTGTCTGCGAGATTCCGCAGCAGTTTTTCCCTGTGCGAAATAAAATTTTAAAATTACCCGAATTTCTGCGTTTGTGAACTCCATTTCAATCGATTGTAATTTTTTAACGTGGAAGCTCATGTAAACAAACTATATATCATTTTAAAGGTGATGCCAATACCTTTCAAACGATATATAGCATTCCCAGATTCAATTATATTTGACTTTACAAGCGAAGCGCGAAATTTGAATGTAAAAACCGGTATGTCATTACCAAACAACCTAAAATATATACTTTGCATGGTCAGAGGTGCCTCCTTCACTGCGTTGCAAACTTCTGACTAATAATTATAATACCCTTCAAGGGTACAAAAAACATATCGAAAAAATACTACGTCATGCCATAGAGAATGTTATAGAAAAGCTGTGTAAATTTGAAGAGAATTGGTTGAGTAGATTTTGAGAAATCATATACACCGTTTAACAAAACGAAGTTTTGAGAAAAACGCAAAAGAATATAATACAGTACTCTAAGGTAAACAGGCAATGCTCACTTCTAATGACTGTAATATCCACAAAAAATGAGATAAGCCCGAAGTTTTAAAATTACCATAAGAACATCGGTATAAAAATTATGTAAAAATAAAAAAAAAAACATTTTTCAAAATTTTTAGGGTGGTCTAACCCCTTAAAGCCCAGTATCCGGTTTAGCAGAGTTCCAGCAGAATGCAACCATGCTGTAAACAGCCATCCAAATTTAAGATCTTGAAAAAATTGTTGCTAAATCTAAAGGAATTACTAATGTCTTGCCTTTTCATTAAAAGCCCTTCGCCATTTACAAATTACGCGAGTAGTTCACATTTACCTAACATGTTTTTGTTTATTCTTTTTGGGGCATCATAGTTTTCCATTTACTGAAATTGATTTCCAAAATGCAAGCCAGAGTCATACTGCCATTTTGACGTTCCAGAAAATGAATTAAAATATATAAATATTCAATTTTTCAATTTTTAAGGCTAAGTAGTATAGCACTTTATCACTTTCCTAAGTATGAGAAAAAAAAACCATAGAATTATCAGTTTTTTTGGCAAATTTATTTAAAAAAAAATTCACTGAAGAATTTCATTGAAGAATTTGATTGCTCAAAGTTAACAGAAAAAACACCATGCAACAAAGAGGTCTTAAATGAAATAATGAGATTACGAAATAGTTAGTTAGATATTTCATAATCGCATGTCCGCAACAATTGATTATTGATCGAACTATAACTATATAAACTATATAAATAAAATTATGTTTACAAAGATCAAGCAAAGGATTAAACTTTTATTTTAAATAATATATATATATATATATATATATATATATATATATATATATATATTTTAATTAATATATATATATAGATATTTTAATTAATATATATAAATAAAATTTTGTTTACAAAGATCAAGCAATTAATATATATATATATATATATATATATATATATATATATATATATATTTTAATTAATATATTTATATATATATATATTAATTAAAATAAAAGTTTAATCCTTTGCTTGATCTTTGTAAACAAAATTTTATTTAACTATAATTCGTATCTTTTAATTCTTTACAATATATTGTACTTGTTTAATTTGTATGAGCTTTTTAAAAGGTTTATTTTCTTAGCATATTCGCATTTTTATACCCTTGCAGGGTATTATAATTTCAGTCAGAAGTTTGCAACGCAGTGAAGGAGGCACCTCCGACCATATAAAGTATATATATTCTTGATCAGGATCAACAGCCGAGTCGATCTAGCCATGTCCGTCTGTCCGTCTGTCCCTCTGTCCTTCTGTCCGTCTGTCCGTTTCTACGCAAACTAGTCTCTCAGTTTTGAAGCTATCTGAATGAAACTTTGTAGTTAGCTTTCTATATACTCTCACTCGTATATATGTAGGAACGGGCCGGATCGGACGACTATATCATATAGCTGCCATAGAAATGATCGGAAAATTTGTACAAAAAAAATTGTAACATTTTCAGTTTTCAATAGAATTGGATCAAATTTGAGATATAGCCATTTTACTATACTCTACAATTTTGTATAAAATTTTATGAAAATCGGATTACTATATCATATAGCTCCCATAGGAACGATCGAGAAATTAATACAATTAAAAATTATATCTTTTCAGTTTTCAACAGATTTTCATCAAATTTGAGGTATAGCCATTTTATATTAGTCTTAAATTTTGTGTAAAATTTCATGAAAATGGGACGACTATATCATATAGGTGCCATACCAACTATCGTTTGATGTAGAAAATCTGTGAATGAAAAGCTGCAAATATTATATGTATAGGTGAATGGAATGAAAGCAGGTATTACTTCATTGTTTTTTAACACAAATTATATATAATTTATATGGTATGGATTCCTAGTCATAGAATTTCTATCTGCAAGGGTATGTAAACTTCGACGTTAGCTTCCTTTCTTGTTTTTATTAAAGTATGTAGTCAATGAAGTACAGCATCGGAGAACCGAAAAAACGAAACCGAAAAACTATTGTTTTAAAACACAATAATTCAAGTAGAACCAAAGTTAATCCATAGGGATCTCAAAGTGAGCTAACGATACGAATAGCATTAAACCTACAGATAATGCTCACATCGCCATGGGTAAAATTTGTTCTAATTTTTAACACTTTTAATTTTGTAGCGCAGTTCTCAAGTATATGCCACCTATATAATAGAATTAAATTATTTCTAAATGGCTCATTAATTTAATACAATATGTATTTTTACAGCAGTCCTGTTCGAAGTTTGCTAATACGGGGCTGATTAAATTTTGATTGTAGTCTACAACATGTAGATAGTTATGTAGTAATGTAATCTTTAAAATTAAAATTAAATTAAGAAGCATAAACGGCCACAAATGCACACTTTAAAATATTTTTAAATCAACCGTTTTTGGAGCAGTGTTGTGAAATATTCACAAATACTTTTACAAAAGTATTGACAAGTTCGAGGAATATTTGCCTTCGCATAATGTTATGTGCAGTTTATAGACTAAACTAAATGATATTCTAAACATATAATATTAACTTGAATTGACAGCTGTTAATACTAAAACAAACTGTTTAACATTAATCTCAGAAATATGTCGTTCATTTTCGTTAAGCTGACAGCCCTTAAATTGTTCCTTTCAATTTTATCTTTTCCGTTCGAAACATGAGCAGGGGAGGCCGATTTGCAATATTGCACAAGATTGGAATCAAAGCGATCTTGTAGTGAACTAATTAGTTTTGAAAAGAATGTTCCGAAACATTCGAGAATGCAATAAAGTTAAAATTTATAATTTACTTATATGTATGTAACGGGCAGTAGGCATCTCCGACACCGTAGATTACACAGCATCGCCAACCAAGTCGATTCAGTCATGTCCGTTGGGGTTCCGTGTGAAAAACGGATCTTAGATACTCTAATGGATATTGCAACCAAATTCAGCGACAACCTTTATATGTGTTCAAGCAGATCATGTTTTGTATACAATTTGAACACGGGAACATCCGCCTTCACAAATAATGATAAAATCGTAACTAAGCTATTATATTGAATTTGAAAAATAAAATGGTATTGAAAAACCATAAGAATATTTTAAATTACATATGTTCGAATCTATACCGCGAAGGAGGACCAATAACATGTTATTTACGAGCTCAGATAAATATAAATCTACAGAAACTAGGATCCAGAGAAAAGCTTACCTGTGGGTAATGTGCAGGCGTGGGTACTGGTGCGCGATGAAAGTACGTTTGTAATTTCTCCGTGTCCATGGGCTGTGGTAGATGGTAGTAGGCAGCCTCCATCATTTGAAACTGTATTTGATGCTCTTTCTGAAGCGGCGTTGGTCCCAATGGTGTCACTCCCAGCAGAGTAGGAATGTGCGCCTCTGTAGTGGCCATTTGTTGTTGTTGCTGATGTTGTTGCAATGTAAGGACCTTAGCATTTCCACTAGTCTGCTGACCAGCAGCGTTCGCCAGAGTCATTATCCCAGTGCTGGTGGCAATGGGGCCGTTGCTGTTTGTTGACGCATGGGACCCAGCAACTGCGATTGATCCGATCGCTGCAGCATTAACCGCTACTGCGTTCTGCTGCTGTTGTTGCTGCGCCGCTACTTTTTGCTGCTGCTGTTGTAGGTTGGCAGTGTTTTCCGAGATGAAATGTTGCTGGAGGATGGATTTCGGTTGCGGTTGATGAGATAAAGACAGTGGCTGCCTAGTGTCGACATTGCTTGGTTGCTGCTGGATTACGGAATTGACATCGATTGTAGATCGATTAATAGCTTCTTGTGCCATCGTTTTTAATGAAATCGTTGCATCGGCTACATTGCTATTGTTGTCACTAGTACCAACCGAGGAGACTTGCAGACCTGTAAATATATTATTTAATTAAAAAAAAAAAAAAAAAAAAAAAAAAAAAAACATTTTAAAAATTTGTTAAGAACTAGAGTTGAGAATTGTGAGGTATCTTATAAATGAATCTTTATGTTAAATTAACAAATATTGAAAATGCCTCTGAGAGCCTATTTGCGTAACTCTTTTTCAGAAGCCAATATTTCTGTCGATTTGAAAAAGAAAACCGCTGCCTAGAGTGATAGATTGAGAGATACCCGAAGGATCTTCGAAATAAACATTTAAGTAAATAAATAAAAATAAAAAACGATTAACGAGATTGCAAAAAAAAAAAAAAATTAACTAGTTTCTGATACGGCACGCTAGTTGAAATATTTATTTGTATACCCTTGCAAGGTATTATAATTTCAGTCAGAAGTTTGCAACGCAGTGAAGGAGGCACCTCCGACCACATAAAGTATATATATTCTTGTACGTTTGTCCGTTTCTACGCAAACTAGTCTATCCGTTTTGAAGCTTTCTGAATGCAACTTTGTAGTTAGTCTTCTAATACTCTTAGTCTCTCTAATACTCTGCAAGGGTATAAAAAAAGGTATTGCTTTAGAATATTTCTACCCAATTCTCAATTCTCTCTGCTTTGCAGCTTAGTGCCGAAAACGAAACTATATACTTCTTTTGCAATTTACCATGGGTAATACTTGCTGTCAAATTTTTATAGTTCAATATACCAATGCTTGTTTTATTTTACTCTTTGACATCGGAATGTTTTATTAAAAACTCACGTTTTTATACAACGGATTGCTGAATTTAACTTCCTTACTTGGTTTTTATTATTATTTTTTTTTTTTAGAAATTTTGGTCAATTATGGATGTTCTTGAACAAAATCACCTGCCGAATTGATTTAGCCGCGGTCGTCGGTCCGTCCGAGTGAAAAAAAATATATGAGATTATAAGAGCTACAGTTACTTAATTTTGTGTTAACATTCTTAATTGTTGCACACAGATCAATTTAGTTTTATAATTTCAATTTATGTAAAAACAACTCAGCTTTATATTGGTTGAAAGGTAAGATAAATCAAAAGACAATGAAGTAATTTTGTTCCTATCCCTCTTGGTTTCAGACTTACCGCAGGTGTTACGAGTGAAGTCTGAAAACGTATTTTTAAACTGGGGCAACCAAAATGTAATGTTTTGTATATTCTTGTTATTTTTTAAATTAATTGTACAAAATTTATATTTTATAAATCGATCGGACTAATCACTTAAAACAGCATTTGTCGGTTCGGGAATATTAGCTTTTTCTAAGCACTATTTTAATATATTGTGCTGAATTTTAAAGTCATCGGTTAACTCGCATATAACATATTTTGGTGACCAGCTGTAAAAAGGAAGTTTCTCTGGCAGGCACTTATTTTCAGTACTTTAAATTCTTTTTGGGGCGCCGAATTTAAAAAAAGGTTTAACCCATGCATAACAAAAACGGTTTATAAAAAATGTTTCGTAAAACTTATTCTTACCGTTATGTAAATGTGAGGAATTCGTTTGAAGATTGGATAATTGTGTCAACTGTTGTTGCTGGGCCTGTGCTCCCGCTCCAACAATAGCAGCCACCGTGGGAGCTGCAGGTTGTTGTTGCTGCTGCTGCAATACAGATCCATTCTCCAAGAGTGCTAAAAAAAGTTACAGTAAGTAAGTGCAATCATTAAATTTTGTTGTACTCCTACATGTATTGTGTTTTGCTACAGCTGCAAATGCAATTGGTGGTGAGGCATGGATCACAGATAGGCCCTGAACGTTGCCACTGTTCGTGTTTGCAGAGCTGGCGGGACTCGAGGCAGCAGTTGCAGTGGTACCTGCAGGAATGCTGGCGGAGGAACATATGCCAGGCGTAGGAGCATGTTGCTGTACGGCAGGATTGTGACCACTATTGGTTGCTGGTGCAGCGGGCGCTCCCGTTCCCTCGTTAGCATTATTTCCGGCCCCGCTCATACTTGTACTGCTTTGTGGCAAGCTGGAAGTAGCTAAAACCGCGGTAGTTGTTGCCTGCTGCTGCTGTATTTTACTGGGCGTTGAGCTGACAATCTTATTGATTTGAACTGAAAAAGTAACAAGAGTTAGTAATATTTTCTGCACTCTATTTATTTGCTACTTACTATCACTACTCGAGGGCATCTTAGCCGTCGCTCGAACAGGCGTGGGCTTAATAAGCTGCAGAGGTTGTTGCTGCGGACAAAAGTAAACCATTCATTGCATAACTCATACAAGGGAACAAGGTAAATCCGTTTCTCAATACACACTTTCAATTTGATGTTGGCATTGCTTTCGCTGCTTTTGTTGCGCTTATCACTTCCACTTCCACCACTAAACTGTGCAACCGGGACGCTGCCAGACGGGTCGGTAGATGTTGTCGCTGAGGATGATGCTGCACTGGTGTCACTCGCATAACCTATGTTGTTTCCATTTGATTGCGCCTGAGTTGCTGCTTGCTGTTGCTGGAACAAAGCAGCGCTGGCTGCACTACTGCCACTGCTTGCCGCTGCCTGCGCGGAAGAAGTAAGCACTTGTTGTACCGTAACGGGCGACTGCGACGGGCTGCCACCGGAGTTAACACTGCTTGGTGATCCGCTAGTCTCGTTGCTATTGTTGCTGTCAGTCGTGGCAGTGCCACTTAGCTCCACCTCGTCGAGTCCAATGATGTCGTCGTAAATAAACTCATTTTCCTCGAAGTCTGGCTCTTGCGATGAATCAATGTAATATTCGACGTCATCTTTGATCTTGTTCACCTGCTCCGCCTCGACACCGTCGTTGTCAAGCAGCCTCAGCAGAGTTTCTAGCTTTGTTATATGGAATTTATGCCTATCCAATTTGCCTCGCAGATCGTCCATACGCTCCTGCTTGTCCCGGTCCAAGCGTTTTTTTTTACCTGCCAACAGCGATTCAATTTCACTCTCATACTGGTCAATCTGTATTTGTAGTGAACTAATTGAACTGGTTAACCAATTCCGGGCATCATCCTTAATTCGTTGGGCTGGATCCATTTTTTGTGCTGCTCCCAAGCCTTCCTTTGAATATGCTTTTGTTTTTGTCTCTCGCTCGACAACCTTAAAACGTTCCATTTGCTGTAATAAAAAAATCGCTGTATTGATGTAAACATATAACAAGTCGACAATGAGTAAATACCGTTTCAATGAGTCTTCGATTTTCCAGCAGTGCACTTTTGTCCTTTATTTCAGCTGAAGCAATCCATGACTTAATCTGATCCCGCAATCGCTGCAGCTTTTTAATTTCTTTCTTGAGATCTGCCTCATATTTCTCCTGCAGATGTTTTTGCTAATAAAGATTTATTATAATATAATAATAATACTCTTTTTAAATTTGAAAACACTTACCTTCTGGTTGGTATTTGTAGCATTATGCACCTTTTTCCAAATATCTTCAAATGTTTCAACGCCCTCGGCAACTTTTTTTAAACACCGATCGATTTCGCCTAAAAAAAAATAGTTTAAAAGAGTTGGCTTCATTTATGTGCATACTTATGAATCTCAGATAATGTATACAAATTTTAAAAGAAAAATATATTTTGCTTACCTTGCAGTTTCCTCGTCGCAGCCATGGCTATGTGTAATCTTGTGGACTTTGGTGACGCAAAAAGTCAGACATAGTCTGCTTCTAAATGCGGCGAATGTTAGAGTACAACACCCTAGCCGCTTGGGCAGGAGGAATCCTAAATTAGGAGTCTGCAATAAACAGGAATGTTATGAGTGTTCGTTGTACAGAACAAACGGAGCGTCGTGGCGGTAAGGGCGCGTAAGTTACGATGCACACGAATATGCAAAAAAAATCTTTTCTTCGTGGAGCCACCTTTACCTTGGTCGGTAACACCTCTCACAGTTACTCCTGTAAGTTTATAACTTTTCTTTGGCCCCCTTCTGTTACTCTTTGCTTTGATGATTCTCTTTTGGGAGTCAGATACAAGATTTCGATTTTTCCTTAGTTTTAGAACTCTGTGATGGAGAGGCACGGAGCACAACGTGGCGGCTGTGTTTGGGTTTCTTAAATATTGATAAGATAATTAGTTAATGTGTAATGAGGCTTAGCAAATATAAAGATTATGCATTTATACATTTACAGATACGTTTTATGATTTTTCGCTTGCTTTTTGTTCTCTTCTTCTTCGCACATTCCGCCATCTTGAAATATATACCACCAATACTTTATGTACAATATATCGATATATCGACTGTATCTTTTATATTATTTCAACTCTAATCTATAAATATTTTCTTGTTGTTTTTAACTATCGCACGGCAATCCATAAGTACGGTATTGTATTGTATTTTAATTTGTTTTACTTGTTTTGTTTCACGGTATTCGGTGATATTTTTATCAGGAATGACCAAAAAAACTTAGACGCTATACATGGATATACCTATCATTTAGCTATCCAAAAAGTCGATTTATTCGAACCCTTTGGACAACCTCGAGATGAAACAACTGTTTTCAGCAGCCGATATTTGTTATTTGTAGTAGTAATATGATTAATTCCCTCTATTAAATTGAAGACAATGCAACAACTTAGAGTGAAATTTGAGATTTGTTTCTCAATCAGCTTCAAAATAATCAATGTATTTCTTAATAAATTAAATTATGGAGTTGTATTCCATTAAACGTGAAGAGGAAACTTTATAATTCAAAAAGTAAAGTAAATTTGTAAATTTATTTGTTTATCAATCAGCAACAAAATAATCTATGTATTTCTTTATAAATTAAATTGTGATTTTTCAGCATTCTGTTTATTTTTTCTCAATCGAAATGTGGTTTGTTTCAACAGCATCTTACAATCGCCTTAACTTTTCTCAAATGCGTACATATTTTCTCACAAAGGCAGACACAAGCTGATTCAAAACATATAGGGATTCCCTATATTAATAATTGGTTTCGTTCAACAGAACAACATGATCACTGATCCGTGATGGATCTTATAAATAATGATCAGCAAAAAGAGAGCATGATAATAGTACGGTAGTTTTTCACGATAATGTTGGATTTTATCGATGGTGAAATATCGGTGATAATAATAATAGAAAATATGGAATACAAACAATGGAAATTAAATTTTAACTCATGAAATCAGTTATTTTGTTTCTGTTCCATTAATAATCAGTGTTCATGTTGCCCTGCTGAATTCAATTAATGACTGAATTACTGAAAGTATCCCCTACTGAAGACAGCTGTTCCCATAAAAACGGTTTATAAGATTTTTTCAGTCTTCAGCGACCCCGGAGACTGAGAATATCCCTTGAAATTTTTAGTTTGACACAGCAACATATTTCCCCATGGAAACAAATCAAAGTTATGCATATTAACGGTAATACAATTTTTTGATGTGAAATATTTAATGAATATTTACACGCGAAGAACTACGATACCACCCTTCAACATGCCCAGTATTAACGGCATGGAGCTAAAACTATCGGAGCGAGCGAAGTATCTAGGAGTTATCCTGGATAAAAAGCTCTCATGGAAAGATAACATTGCAGAAAGAGTAAGGAAAGCAAGCATTGCTTTCTACTCCTGCAGGAAAATGTTTGGGAACAAATGGGGACTGCACCCAAAGATAATTTTATGGCTCTACACTGCAGTGGTACGACCAATTCTTACATACGGAGCCCTAGTATGGTGGCCGGCACTAACTAGGGCTTACAACAGAACGAAGCTGACACGGATGCAACGGGCAGCGAGTGCGGGGGCAGTGGGTACAATGCGCTCATGCCCCGCGGCTGCTCTCAACGCCATCCTGGATATAATGCCGATAGAGCTGTTCGTGAAGGACACTGCGGAACAGAGCGCAGTAAGACTGAAGGCGAGCAATTGCTACGGCGCCGGGCACGGCAAAATCCTTGGAAACAGCGGCATTAACACAGACGTTAAGACCGACACCATGATCGCGGAAATGAAATTCAGGAACGCATTCTCGACATCATACCCATCAAGGGAAGACTGGAGTAAGGGCAGAGTAGTAGTGGAGAACGAGGTGTCCCTCTACACCGATGGGTCAAAAATGAGCTGCGGCGTAGGGGCTGGGATCTTCGTTGAAAATTGGAGAATTGAAAAGGCTTTCAATCTCTCTAACTCGGCGACGGTCTTTCAGGCTGAGTTACTAGCCATAAGGGAAGCAGTCGAACTTTCCTTAAGGCAGGACCTCAGGGGCAAAAGAGTTCGAATCTACTCGGATAGCCAAGCGGCTATAAAATCCCTATCTGCCGTGAAAACGAACTAACGACTAGTGGCAGAATGCAAGAAGGCCCTTAATAGACTTGCCGACAAAAATAAGGTACAAGTAACATGGGTACCGGGACACAACGAGATCCCAGGAAATGAGAAGGCAGACGAACTAGCCCGTGCAGGTTCGGCAGGGCTAAGTTCTGAATTCGAATTACCGATCTTCCTAAACGCGATCCAGACAAGGCTAATAAAAAATGGCAAAGTAAAACGACCACAGAAGGTCAAGGGAATGTTGGCCGAGGTACGACAAGAAACGAACCACTGAACTGCTATCCAAGAGCAAGCGGGATATCAGCAGGTTCACGGCACTCACCACAGGACATTGGGCGATCGGTTCGCACGCAATGAAGTTGGGACTGCCATACAACGCAATATGTAGCTGTAAGCAACCTACAGAGCAAGAGACACCGGAACATCTGCTCTGCTTCTGCCCAGCGCTAAACCACATCAGATTTCGACACTTCGGTGCCTACCTGATGGAGTCACTGAGAAAGATAGGAAAGCTGAAAGTTTCAGCAATCCTAGGTTTCCTGGCTGACTCTGGATGGTACTGATAGTGAATAACAACAACAAACAGAGGGAGTGGAACAAAAAGGAGCTTAGCTCTAATTGGAGGCCCCAACAATGGGCCTCACCACTGCAACCTACCTACCTACCTTACAAGCAATTGTTGATCCGAGGTGTTTGCATTAAAAAACTGCATCACTTTTTATACCCTTGCAGGGTATTATAATTTCAGTCAGAAGTTTGCAACGCACTGAAGGATCAGGATCAGGATCCGTCCGTCCGTTTCTACGAAAACTAGTCTCTCAGTTTTTAAGCTATCTGAATGAAACTTTGTAGTTAGTCTTCTATATACTCTCACTCGTATAAATGTCGGAAAGGGCCGGATCGGATGACTATATCATATAATATAATTTTTACAAAAAAAATTATAACATTTTCAGTTTTCAACAGAATTTAATCAAATTTGATATACAGCCATTTCATATTATTCAAATTTTTTTTTGTAAAATTTTATCAAAATCGGACTACTATATCCTATAGCTCCCATAGGAACGATCGAGAAATAAATTCAATAAAAAATTATAACATTTTCAGTTTTCAAAAGATTTTCATCGAATTTGAGATATAGCCATTTAATATTAGTCTTAAATTTTGTGTCAAATTATTTAAAAATCTGACGACTATATCATATAGGTGCCATACAAACGATCGCTATGTGGATCAAAAATGCATATCTGTGAATGTAAAACTGCAAATATAATATGTACAGGTGAATGAAATGAAAGCAGGTATTACTTCATTGTTTTTTAACATAAATATATAAAATTTATATTGTATGTATTGTATTGTTAGTTTAGTTTAGTGTATACAAATCATTATAATTTGCACAAAACACTCTAAAAAGTTCTTTTTAACCGACTCGATGCGTTTGCTTTGGACGCCGTAATGTTGGCTCCAAACGCAGCATCCAATTTCTAAGATAGGACGAACTAAAGAAGTATATAGTATTTAGTAACATAGGGGTCATTGAATTCATTCGACCACCGTTTAATAGATGAAAGCACACCCCTGGCTCTATTCACCATAGACGAAATATGATCAATAAAGTCAAGTTTTGGGTCCAAGCGGACGCCCAAATCATCAACAGAATTAATTCTTTCCAAAGAGCAGCAGTTCACCGTGTAAGTAGAAAGCTTAGGAACGACACGAGAGAATGTCATTAGCTTGGATTTCGAGCCATTTAAGTTTAATAAGTTTACACGGCACCAAGTTTGAAAATTATTAAGATCTGTTTGTAAATCCGACTGGCAGGCAACGTCATTGAATTGCACGCAAAGCTTGATGTCATCCGCGTACATAAGCATTCTGGAGTTAGTCAAGACTTTGGGCAGGTCATTTATAAATAATGTAAACGTCGGCACAATACCTGAGCACACAGCCAGGAATTCCGTCGGGACCTGGCGAATAAACTGGCTTGACACGGTGAAGATCTAAAAAAGAGAGCTTTCGTTTAGTCTAGGACAGAAAATTAAGTTTGATTTGGGTATGTCGTAGAAATAAGTCTGGTGTAAATACGAAGAGTTTGCATAGGTTGTTTGAAAAAACTGCGAATTGGATTATTTAACGGAACACATTCAGTAAAAAATGAATTCATGGCACTGTAAAAAATATCCACGGCAACTGCCATGTCAGTGCACATGTATAGATCGGACCAATTGAACTCGTTTATAAAATTATTCAGCCGTTCAAAGTCCTTCTTACGAAAGCATAGGACTTTATTGGCTAGACGGTCAGATATATTCTGTACGACACACCCGATATCAAGGTTCACATCGAAAGATGGATCTTCGGTCTGCGTCAGACGCGCCACCCTTGCTAAACTGACTCTCGCAGGATCAGAGACGAAGCAAAGATCGAGCAAGCTGTAAGGAATTTCGGACATGGTTGACTTGAGACCGCGATATGTCGAACAAGCCTGCTATAAAGTCATGTTGTGTAGGTGTATGGAGAGTTTTGGTGGAATTATTTGAGCACTAAATAGCACCAGGGATATTAAAATCTCCTAGGACTACCAACTGGTGTATATCCAAAAGTTTACTGGAAACCATCTGAATGATTCCAATAAATAGAAAGTTCCGACAATATGGGTTTGTAGGAACAGGTAATAAAAATATCAATCAGAATACATGTTAGGAAGCTTACTACGCAAGCCTCTTGCATTCTGATAGGAAATACCTAGGGAGTAGGTTAGTTTTTTGAGTCGGGGTTCGAAGATCAGGCCTGGGAAGAGTTATTCCTACAGGCCGCTTTTTCTTTTTCTTCGCTTCGAACTCCTTAACAACGATGTACTCTGGCCAGAAGTTGGGAGAGCAAATAGTGTTAAAGAGCTCGTTAGGGACATTTATTTTGAAAGAGGAAATGTCCCTAGCATACGAAAATTTAAACTGTTCCACCTTAATCTTAATTTTATGGGCTCTGGTGTTGCCTTGTATAAAGGCGAGAACATCTTCCGTTGTTTGATCAGGGGAGAGCCGCGTGACAAAAATATGTCTCTTCGGTGGAACCGCTATAAGGGCTTTTGGCAAGGCAGATTGGTTATCTGCCGTGCCATTGCCGGCCGGTATTCCGGGCCTAACACCCTGGGCAGATATATTGTTAAACACGGGACTTTGAGGGGTCAATATTTGCGACCCCCAGGGGACAAAACAGAAATCACCGGCGGTACGGGCACTCCCGCTGCACATTCGGATACCGAATCTTTTCTAGCGCTCGATCTCAGCACTCTTGGAATTAATGCTGAGGTCGAATGCTGAGCCGAGGGAGGCTGCTGCTGAGAGCCCGTTGCAGGTAGTTGGGGTCCATCTACATGCTGCTCACCATTAGCAGTTTTTTTGCGCCTAGGAAACTCATTTAATAGCGTAAGGCTGGGTGTCCAGTGCCAAGAACATATCAAGAGTTTTACGAAAATTCGTTAAAATGCCCTTAAAACCGTTTTTGGTTTGCCGCATGAAAGACATCATTTCCCTTTCTTTATCGCGACAGGCCTCACAGCAGTAACGCAGGCCGATGTTTTTTTTTACATCGTCCACCGTCCGAGCTTCAACACCAATACACTTGGCGTGCATGACGTTGTCGCACAGCCAGCAGCCGATTGTAAGGTCACCTACAGAAATAGCCTTCTTGCAGGTTTTGGCGAAACAGAAAATATAAGGACATTATAAGGACTTACCACTGTACTTGTACTTGAAAAAAAAAGAGAAAAAAAAAACAACAAAGCTATGAAGATAACAAGTGAAGAGTCACAGCGAGAGCGAGAGAGCGGGAGAGCGTGGGAGATTAAATAAGACAAGAAGTGCAGCGGTACAGCGAAAGCGAGAGAGTGGGAGAGCGTGGGAGATAAAAAGCAAAAACGTTTAGCTGTTGCGACGGCACAAACAAAAGCCAAACGAAGAAGGCACAAAATGCAAAATATGCAAAAGCTAGCACTAGCAGCACAACAAAATTGGGAAATGAAACAAATTATAAACACAAATCAGAATAGCTGCATGCACACGCGAAGTGTGCATGTTATTCGATGGTTATTTTTAAACTTTAACACACAACGAGAGCGCAAGAAAAAAACACGTCCGTTCACTTGGAAAGATGATTGGATATTTTATTTTTATTTTTATTTATTTTCTATTTTTAGTGTGGGTACCAATTAGTATATATAGTTTTATATATTTTAGTTCGATTTATCAATAATCAATTTTTGCGGACATGTAATTATGAAATATCTTACGAACTATTTCGTAATCTCATTATTTCATTTAAGTCCTCTTTTTTGCTTGGTGTTTTTCCTGTTAACTTTGAGCAATCAAGTTCTTCAATGCGAATACCGTCTAAGGTTCTTACACGACTAAATGTTACTTAAGGTTGTCCAGCAGCAAACAGGCGTGAGCCTATATAAATAAATGCATGATCAACTGCACAACCTTGTATCTTGTGAACAGTCGAAGCCCACCTCAGGATTAATGGGAACATCCGTCTGTCAGCAGTTCCATAGCCGTATTTTGCTAGAAACTGTAATGATATCTGCTTAATCAGGTGGATACCATTTGATCCGAAATCAACACGGACTGATGGAATATCCTCCGCGTATAGTTGGCCTCTGCGAAAATTTGGCCATATTGCCATTCACTAAACCTTTCGACACGTCAATGTTCGACCTTAACGTCACTTTAGCTCCTACAAATATTCTAAGTTCCCCTCCTGTCTTGTTAATATCATTAGGTATCACAGAATCTAATTCCTTGTTACCTAAATTTCGAATAGCATCAATGAGTTGGCATGCGCAGATCGCGCGCTAGCTCTGTCTCTCTTACTCCCTTACGGAGGATCTATAAAACAATTTATCAATCCTGACGATCCTAATAAGGAAAATTTTTTATCAAATATTATTGCATTGTCATCGGTCTTTGAGAAGTATGCAAAGTTTCAAATTTATGAAATAATTGGAAACCCTTGAAAATAGTGTTCAAAAATTCCGTTACGTACATACATACATACATCCCGAACTAATAAAAGCGTGTTATAAATTAGCTCACCCAATGGTTTAATTTGAAGCACGCCTTACCATTACAAGTCAAAAACTCAGTTTTTACGCTTTTTTGTGGCAATTTCCTCGATTCCTTACACTTTGACCATTCAACCTCTATATATGCATTCAAGAATATGATCAAGAATTCAGTCGCTGACATATTAGGATCATTCTCTATCCACCTAAAATTATCAGTCGTATAGGAAACTTCTGTCTTAGATGCAACACATAGTGGCTAAGTCTTCCGTTGTTTTTTTTAGTATTCCATATAAACAATTTAGTGGCTACGGTAATTACGTTATGAAATGAATACAAACCAGAAGTCGGAGCAATGGGAGTTGAGTATAGTAGTCCCTCTGCCTCTGTGGAAGCTTGGTTCGCAGGCTGGACACCGTATAATAATAATAATAATAATAATAATAATAATAATATAATGTACCATACATGGTATGTTCTCCTTCTAAGGAACACCTCAGAGAAGCAAGGATCCCAATGCAGTCAGGCTTCAGGAAGACCAACGAATGGATCTACTCGGATAGCCAAGTGGCTATTCTCACATTTTATGTCTAGTGGCAGAATGCAATATGACCCTTACAGCTTGCTTAACGCAATGATATTCAAATAACTTGGGACACAATGACATCGAAGGAAATTAAAAGCAAATAACTAGCCTGTATGAATGGTATACTGAACTCAGTAAATTTAGTCTATTTGGATCCTTATCCAAGACCATTTTAGAATAACAGCCAACAAAAAATGATCAAGAAAGAGCAAACACAGGAGATTACAAATATTGGACGAAGAATTTAAATTGGTTATCATTAGGTTCGCGATGGTTATACCACCTGGAGTCACTGCATAATTTTTGTATGTTTTAAATCTCGTTAATCTTAGGATTTTTCAGATGGCTCAAATAGGAAGCTGGATCTAATTGGAGCATCTAGAAAGAGACCACCATTATACCTACCTACCCTACATAAAAATCAATGTTATTACTTCAAAGTCGACTTTTGATAGTAAGTATTAATTTAATTGGAATATAGTTGCAAGCTTATATATAAAATTGGTTTTGTAAAAATTGAGAAGGAATGGCAACCCTAATTATTATGAAATTAATTAGGTGCAGTCGTTGGCCCTTTGCCCAGGAATACCACGCAGCTCCTGGTTGAGTGTTCGTAATAATGGATATTTGCCACAACCGCAGTGACCGTGGAAGTCGTCTAGATCGAGTGCCCATATCATACCACCCCCAAGGTTCAGACGCCTTACAAACTGCGCTTTACGGCGAATGTCCGCGACGTCGTCATAGGAAACCCACTGGTCGGCTTTGTAGCTATATGGCCCAATGCGGCCATAGTCGTCTCTTATCACGGTCCATCCTCCGTTTCCAATTTTTTCACAAATCTCATAATAGGCAAGGAATCCACTTGCGCGGGAATATGTGCCCGCCTGCCCAGGCCCAATAGATTTGTCGTTTAGAGCTCTGTTTTTCTGGTTAGCTAGCGAAAAGGACTGCCCGTAAAGGGGCATGCCCATAACAAGCTTGCTTGCGGGAGTACCCTGGTCCAGCCAATAGTGGATGCTGAAATTGCCATTAAAGTTTGGATTTTCGTCGCCGGCGATATAGTACAGTGGAGCTACGTGGCCGGTTTGCTTATCCCAGTGTCCGTGAAAATCATACGTCATAACGGAAATCCAGTCAAGGTAGCGGGACAATGTCGGTACATCGTACCCAGCATCGACTACCGTCTTACTGGGCGAAACCGCCGCTGATAGTAATAGACCCTTTGTTTGAAAAGCTTCGAATAATTCTTTTACTAAGGCTACGAATCCCTGTTTTTCTAATTGAGCGCCCTTGGAACAATCAACCTGCCAGCACACAGGATACTCCCAATCCAAATCCAAGCCCTCGAACCCAAATTTTTCTAAAAATCTTAAGACGCTTGCGATAAAGCGCACTCGAGCTTGGGGATCAAGAACAAGGCGCGCATATTTGCTGCCCAATGAGTCGTTCCACCCGCCGATAGCCACCGTCACGCGGAGGCCTTTTTTCTTGTACTCCACCACCCGCTTGTAGAACTGATTATCGATGTCGGCCCATGAGTCGTGGGTCTTTATAGTCAATGAGTGACTGTCGAGTACTGCGAACCCATAAATTATATGGGTGCATAAGTTGGAGTCGATATCCTCGGGAACGTACTTTCCCTGGCCTGATCGGTACCATGCCCAGTTGGTAAAATAGCAGATAACTTTGAAATCTCTGTCACTACTTTGCGGCAAAGAAGTTGGCTTCTGACCCGAGGTGGGGTTCTTGCTAGGTGGGCTCAATGGTTTTTTAGTTGAATCGGGTTTTGAGTCGCCGTTGGTGGGCTTCGGGCGTTGTGCTAATAGCATTTGACTAAGTTGATCCTCCCGTACTGTGCAATTAGCTTTGTTTGACCAGTCGCATTTGTTTTCGTTCCAATACAGACCTGTAGGGCACCTGAAAAGAAAAATTTACAAACACAATGTATTAAGGAGCTTAGGTCCAAAATTGTTAGCAATCGAAGTTATTTGTCTACCCTTGTCATACCTTTGCAAAATGATTTATGATTTTCGCCAGAAGTTTGTAACACAGTGGAAGCGACAACTGTAAGATATGGCGGGCCGTCATATTATGACTTCACAACGTGCAATTGATAGCTCAAAAACTAAGAGCATCAGAGCATTCTCTGAAGTTTAAGCTTTGAGTTAAAAACACTTTGCAAGGGTAAATAAATTAGACTTTTAAGAAGGTACATAAACCTTTAAACGATGTTCTATAGTGGCGTAACATTAAAGGTAAATATGAACTATTATTGGTATGTAAAAATTAAGATGAGGTTAAATTCAGTTCTCTTCACGTCCCTACGTATTACGTTACAGATGAAGGTAGTAACTTGCAAATATCCTACAGTTTGCAAAGGAAAGTATGTCTATTAAGAGAAGTATACAATAATAGGACAGTAACACTGTATTGAAACCCTGAAACTAAAGTTTAGAATCCATTCGGATACAGAAAATATTTAATACAGTGATTCTTTTCAAAGAATCTACACTTAAATGCCTGTGACTTCATTTTCACAGGCATTGTACCTCTGTACTATATAAAACCTTTTTGTCATCAACCAAGTAGGTACTTAGCTATCAAAGCAGCCGGCATACTTAAGGACAAAACAGTACGAAAGTCAATCTATAAATTCCCAAGACGATCAGTTTTTCAGGCCACAGAGTAGAAATTAGCAAAATCGGGATAGGAAAGAAAAACACTAGGGCAGTTCAGTTTGCGAGACCTAAGAACATTAAATTTTTCAAATAATTCCTAGCACGGATGTCAAAAAATTTGTTAAAGAATGACCGAGCTTATATTCGAAGTAAGGCAGATAAGTGCAATGAACTAGCTAAAGGATGTCCCGACGTTTTGTGCGTCCTTTAATTGTATCGCAGAGCAGTATCAACTACATCACAAAGAATTACATACTACAGCATCTATGAATGGGCATTCTAATGCAGTGATTTGAAGCCGAATTTCACCCAGTAGCATATTAGACCATAAAAACTTCAGCTCCTGGCTCTAATCACCACAGTTATATACTAAAATTAAAAGATTTTTTTTTAACCGTCAAGAAGTTCGGGCAGCGTTTTCTCTCTGTAAAAACAGACTTTTAACGGCTGAATAATATTATATTTGAATTTAATTTAATTTTATACTTGAATTAACCGATCTAAACATGTGAACTTACATGGCAGTTGCCGTGGATATTTTTTACAATGCAATGAACTCATTTTTTACTGAATGTGTTCTGTTTTCTATCCGCCAAACTCTAATAAGTCTCCATGGTTTACTAATAGGTTGAGCCGACATAAAAATAGCAAATTTAGGCTGTACGCTAAATTTTCAATCACCTGTTCATGTAAACCAAAGATTACCTTCCTATTCTAATAGACTCCTCCTAATTATCTTACCATCCTAAGCCAACCGTAGAACTATGCTTGGCTTAACCTTTATTTAAAACCTCATTCATGGTGACGTGGAAAGTTCTAATTTGTTGAGTCAGCTTCTCTTTCACGTACCAAGTAGAAATACTAGATCCTATGTATATACCCTTAGTGTTGCACCACTGTAGAACCTCCTTTGAACTACATGAACCTTTTAGAGTGTTAATTTTCTTGGACGTTGATGCACTAAGGTCAGTACATTCAAGTGGCCCGTATGACACCAGGCACGTGCCTGTTTGGGTTAGGTGTTAGTAGGCGCGATGGAAAATATAGGACAGAATACGAGGAAAATTGAACTACCGGCGTGCTGCCAGATTGTTAGCTTGCATGCTTACTAAGTGTGTTAGTATTAAAGATTTTAATTTGGGAAGGGTATCTACGTTAGAGATTAGTGTGTACAAATCATTATAATTTGCACATAACACTCTAAAAGGTTCATGCAGTTCAAAGGAGGTCCTAAAGTGGCGCAACACTAATGGGATATAGGATCTAGTGGCTCTACATGGTACGTGGAAATTAAGCTGACTCAACAAGTCAGCACTTTCCACATCACCATGGATAAGGTTAAAAATAAAGGTTATCCCTAGCATCGTTCTACGATTGGCTAAGGACGGCAAGTTAATTAATAGGAGTCTACTAGAGTAGGAAGGTAATCTTTGGTTTGCATCCCAATTTAAACCGCGTAGAGCGAAAAGTAAAAAGTTCTTTTGAACCGACTCAATACGTTTACTATGGACGCCGTACTGAGGGCTCCAAACGCAGCATCCATATTCTAGGATAGGACGAACTAAGGAAGTATATAAGGATTTAGTAACATAGGGGTCATTGAATTCCTTCGACCACCGTCTATTCACCATAGCCGAAATATGATCAATAAAGTCAAGTTTTGGGTCCAAGCGGACGCCCAAATCGTCAACTGTATTAATTCTTTCCAAAGAGCAGCCGTTCAGCGTGTAAGTAGCAAGCTTAGGAGCGACACGAGAGAATGTCATTAGCTTGCATTTCGAGCCATTTAAGTTTAATAAGTTTACACGGCACCAAGTTTGAAAATTATTAAGATCTGTTTGTAAATCCGACTGGCAGGCAACGTCGTTGTATTGCACGCAAAGCTTGACGTCATCCGCGTACATAAGTACTCTGGAGTTAGTCAAGACTTTGGGCAGGACATTTATGAACAATGTAAACAATAAGGGTCCCAAATGGCTTCCTTGCGGGACACCAGATGTAACCCTTAGAACATTGGATAAATTATCCTTAAAGAGGACCTTTTGCGTCCTGCCATTCAAATAACTAGAGAACCAATTAAGAAGATCACTTGGAAAACCCATTGAATCGAGTTTTCTAACGAGGAGAGAATGGTTAACAGAGTCAAATGCTTTACTGAAATCAGTATAGATTACATCTGTCTGACAATTATTATGGAAGCCCTTTATAATATAGGAAGAGAGCTCCAAAAGATTTGTTGTTGTTGATCTTCGCTTCATAAAACCATGTTGACATGGAGAAATAACCGATCTACAAAGGTGCTGTAAGTGAGGGGTGAAAATGTTTTCAAATAATTTAGGGATGACCGACAACTTAGAGATTCCTCTATAATTGCTGGCATCCAATTTGCTACCTTTTTTGTGGAGAGGAATAATAAACGATTCCTTCCAAATAATGGGAAAGTGGGAGGTTTCTAAGGACAAGGTAAACAATTTCAGAAGGGGATAGCACAGGGCGTCGGCACAATACCTGAGCACACAGCCAGGAATTCCGTCGGGACCTGGCGAATAAACTGGCTTGACACGATGAAGATCTAAAAGGAGAGAGCTTTCGTTTAGGCTACGACAGAAAATTAAGTTCGATTTGGGTATGTCGTAGGAATAAGTCTGGTATATATACGAAGAGCTAGAATAGGTTGTTTGAAAAAACTGCGAAAATAGATCGGCTATTGCCTGATCATTATTTGCGGTAGTATTTTCAAATGAAAGCGAGGAAGGATTTGTTTTAGGTTTACGTTTAGTGTTAACGAAATTATAAAACTGTTTTGGGTCCTGTGAGAACTGGGCCCTACAACGAGTTAAATAGTTTTTATAACACTGCGCGCTCAGCACGGTAAAGTTTGGCCGAGCTGATAAATAAAATGAAAGGGCAGATTGAGAACCGGTGATTTTAAATTTAGTATACAGTCTAGATTTTTTATTTTTAAGTCGGCTCAACTCTTTAGTAAACCACGGCGGTTTATTCGAGCTTGGCGGATAATATAACGGAACACATTCAGTAAAAAATGAATTCATGGCACTGTAAAAAATATCAACGGCAACTGCCATGTCAGTGCACATGTATAGATCAGACCAATTGAACTCGTTTATAAAATTATTCAACCGTTCAAAGTCCGTTTTGCGAAAACATAGGACTTTATTGGCTGGACGATCAGAAATATTCTGTACGTCACACCCAATATCAAGAGTCACATCGAAAGTTGGATGATAAGGATCTTCGGGCTGCGTCAGAGGCGCCACCCTTGCTAAACTGACTCTCGCAGGATCAGAGACGAAGCAAAGATCGAGCAAGCGCTGTAAGGAATTTCGAACATGGTTGACTTGAGACAGCGAAATGTCAAACAAGCCAGCGATAAAGTCATGTTGTGTAGGTGTATGGAGAGTATTGGTGGAATTATTTGAGCACCAAATAGCACCAGGGATATTAAAATCTCCTAGAACTACCAACTGGTCTCTATCCAAAAGTCTACTGAAAACCATCTGAATAGCGGAAAGGTGATTCCAATAAATAGGAAGTTCCGACAGTGGAGGTATGTAGGAACAGGTAATAAAAATGGAGCTACCTTTGATAGATAGCTTCACACAGAGGAATTCAACATCATTACATTCCTCGAAGGTTAATAATTCTGACGTGAGTGAGGAGTCCACCGCTATTAGAACTCCACCCCCGCGTCTGATAGGGCGATCTAGCCGATATACTGTGAACACAGCTGGAAAAACTTCGGAGCTCAGAATCTCCGGCTTTAACCAGGTTAAGTGCAAATTATAATGATTTTAAGGTGTAGTTAAAGTAGAAGATAGGCATAATAGTTGGTGTTGTCATTCAAGCCGTCAAGTAGCACCGATCTTTAAGTAATATTTATACAACCAATGTAAATGTAATATAAAAGAAGGCATTAGCCACATATATTTGTGGGGATAAATGAGTCAGATCTTTGGGCAGATCGTTAATAAGTAATTTAAACAAGAAGAGACTCAAATGGCTCCCTTGCGGGACGTCAAAGGATAAGTTGAGATCAATTTAAGACCAATCAAAAACCATTGAAAGAGATTAAAAATTTTTGCCACGTTAAAATAAATCCAAACTGTTTTTGTCGGTGACCGGTATTTTTAAAAACATTCAAAGAACCGGATTATGATTATTAATGATAAGGCGATATAGGATACCCATGAATTGAATATTTAAAGGTTAATTTTGGTCTTAGCGTTTGCAATTAAAAGTTTTATTATCTTTTATAAGGTCAAATATGAAATAAGAAGTTTGCCATTTCACTCTCGACCTTGATCAATGGTTTCCAGAATTCAAGGGTTATTTCGGATATGATAGTTAATATAACTTTGTTTTCATGCGCGTTTCTCTCTGTTACACTTTACACTTTGACGATTGAAAATAGATATTTAACAATTCAGATGCAGACTTTTTGGGTATTGATACTCTTATACATATTTTTAGTAATTCAGTCATTCAGTCTTATAAGGAGCCCCCTAAGTATTAAAGGAAAGCTCCCATGTTAGGTAAGATATTCCCTAAATATTCTCTGCAACAAATAACATCACAGTTAGCATACGTACCGATGTTCAACTAATTCTCCATATTGGCAGACATAGTATTTGTTGCAGTCTTGTTCATGCGCGATGTAGTTTTTGCCGTCACAATCCAACGCCGAGATCGGTTGTGTAGGATTGGGTTTGGTCCAAGATTCTTGTTGTGCAACAGTTACGCCGTCTGAACTTGTGGTTAAAGTAGGTTTAATGAATATATTATGGTTGCCAACTGCGGGATTGATAGATTTTTATAATATATAGTGATGATGTATGTTCATGACCACTACTTACTTATTGTCAAAGGGCTCTTTTCAAGCACACACTTGGCATTCGGGCCCCCATATCCACGCAGTACACGGTTAATAGTTTTTAGCAAAGGATACGACTCGCAACCGCAGTCGTTCTTAAAATCATCTAGATCCAGTGCCCATATCATAGCTCCTCCCAGATCCATAGCCTTAACGTACTCGCTTTTGTGTCGGATCATTGCTGCATCATCAAAGGAAACCCACTGATCTCGCAGATAAGCGTATGGGCCCATCCGGCCCCTAGCGTCACGTACGACATTCCACCCTCTCTGGCGAATATATGAGCAAATCTCATAGTACGCCAGGAACCCTCTGGCCCTGGTAGCCTCTCCAGCCTCCCCACCACCATAGGTGGGAGCATTTAGATTGTGTTCATTGGCCTGTGCCAAAGAAAATGACTGTCCATACATAGGCATTCCCAAAACGAGCTTTTGCCGGTCTGCTCCATTCGCTATCCAGTAGTTTACGGAAAAGTTTGCATTAAAGGTGGCTACTCCGTCGGGGTGCTCGTACATGGGTGCTACGTGGCCAGTCTGCTTGTCCCATTGCCCGTGATAGTCGTATGCCATTATGGCAATCCAGTCAAAGTACTTCGATAACTCAGCCACTTCGTATCCGGCGTCGATTACCTTTTTATTAGGAGAAACTGCAGCGGATAGTAGGAGGTTTTTAGGCCGGAAAGCCTGCGACAATTCCCGAACCAGTGCTGTGTATCCTTGCTTTTCATCATCCGTTCCTTTTTTACAATCCACCTGCCAGCAAACCGGGTATTCCCAGTCAAGGTCGAGTCCATCGAAACCATACTTTTCAATGAATTCGATGACATGTCTAATAAATTGTGCTCGGGCCTTCGCGTTTCTCACCAGTCGCGAATATTTATCTCCGGCAGAGTCATTCCACCCACCAATGGCCACAGTAACTTTTACTCCCCGTTTTCGATGCGCCACAACCCTCTCATAGAATTTGTTGTCCAGATCAGCCCAGGAGTCATGTGGTTGAATGGTAAGCTTATCTCGGCTTAGAACAGCAAAGCCGTAGACTATGTGGGTGCACAGTTCTGGGTCGATATCCTCAGGTACGAACTTCCCGCCCCCCTGGCGGTACCAAGCCCAGTTGGTAAAGTAGCAGACTACTTTAAACTGTGTCGATCCACCAGTACCAGTGATCGGGACTTCGGCGGCTTCAATTTCAAAATTAGCTTCTTCGGCGTTGTCTTCTTCGGCCCCATTAATGGCCTCTACCGCCATTTCCATCTCTTCCTGCGTTTCCTCCAATTGACTCTCAGTTCCGATCTCAATTGATGTAGTTCCACCTTCTTCTGAAATGGCTTGTTCCTCCACAGACGCCTGCTCTATAGAAGAATCTACGCCAGCTATTGAGGTTAGGTGAAGTTTAAAACCGGATAGAGAAATGTTGAACTACTTCTTATCGGCTGAACTCACGTGTTGGTTCGTAACCACTTGGCGGTTCCTTTAGAACATCGTGGATCTGTCGTAGCAAAGGATGCACACCATCACCGCAACGATTGCGGAAGTCGTCGAGATCTAGAGCCCAAACCATTCCGCCGCCCAAGTTCAAGGCTCGAACTAGTTGCGACTTTTTCCGGATTATGGCTGGGTCATCAAAGGATACCCACTGTGTTCCCTTCCGCGCATACGGTCCCATGCGACCATGTACATCCTGCACAACCTCCCATCCTTGATGTTTGACGCGATCGCAGATCTGTATAATAGTTTATATTTTGTTATTAAATATTTATTTTATCAATATATAAACGTTTGGTCATATTACATAAAAGCAATAGGGGCATGTCCAAATGTAAATATTGTATGTTATAAAGATTTCTAAATCTGAATATTTATTTAATAGATTATCATAAATTTTAAAACATTGTTTAAAATTCTGTAAATTAATTATTATTCGGGTTATATGGGAATATTCTAAATAATTACAAAGTAATTTTAATTGTGATATAATTTCCTATTAATTTTTCGATCTTTACAATGGCAGCTATAAATTGAAGTCGTGCCACATAATTTAAAAACAAACTAACAATTCTACAATTATAAATAATAAAACGACGAAACTTAAACTTTTTCCTAGAATACCATCATCTAGAATACCATCAACAGCCGTAATGATGTTTATGAATATCGGACAAATATGTACATATATATTTTAAAATTATCTGTCTTACATTCACTACGAATCATAATCATTTACAGTTAACTTTCTACATTATTTTACAAAAGAATATGAGTATGTAGACCAGTGTTGCCAGTCTGTCCTTTTTGAAACTGCTTTGTCCTCAAAATTTTGGAAACATAATCTACCAATTTATTTTTATTTTGTCTTTTTTCATCCTTTTTCTTGTTTTTTAATGTATATGCAATTTATTATTTGTAATTATGTGGCATTGCTTTCATATCGAATTTTCGTCTTCGATAAGCTTTTTTGAAGCCCTGTTTTTTTTTTTTTTTTTGTGTGTAATCGACAAAACGTATTGGTATCGAGATATTGCGCTAAAAATTTAAGATGTCCAAGGAAATATACAAGCAAAAATTTCACACTTCGTGGTTGCAGGAGCCTTTACTTGCGAATTGGCTAAGTCGCAATGCAACGGATTCGAATAGGAGGTACTGCAAGTATACTTTGAACCCAAAAATTGACATGATTCGCGCACATGCCAAAACAAAAAACACACGCAAAGTGCAGTTCCATTTGCTCAAGAGAACAAAATTTCGTTCAAGCCAATCGCGACATCAGAGTCTCGCAGACAGGAGGGGGCAATGTTTTGTGCACAACATTCTGCTATTAGTCCCGTTGGCCATCTGACCGAATTGCGCCAAAGACCTGCATTAATTAATTTCTTTCATTTAGATTTTAGTTACGTCGAAACAACGCATGTTGCAACAATATACATATATGTATATGTCGGCGAATGGATATACCATTCGTATACCAGCGTATGCAGAATGCTAGTTCCTGGAAAGTTTGTCTTACGCGGAACTTTGGCATTCTTGGTTCTATTCTATGATTGGTCCTCTTAGTTCGTTGTGGCGCGACACAGCTGCGCTGTTAGTTCCCTTTTTCACAGGAATCGTTATAGCGAGGCGGCAGCGTCGCGTCGCTGTCGCCGTGTGTGGTTCGAAGGCAGTTCTTAGGCAGAATGATCGGGCAGTCTTCAGCGATCGTCAGCCAGGAAAGTCGAAACTCACTCCGCTCGAAAATGGAACGCGACCATGACTCGACATCAGAAGTGGGATCGGTCCTCAACCTAATACATTAGTTGGACCATGGCGTGTCATCATCGAACTACCAAATCAAAATTTAATCGAACTTGTGCGAGAAATTAAAACAACAGGTCCTGATGCAGAACAAAGAAAAGCTAAGTACAAAGTTTTCTGGTAAAAGATTGAATAATATTGTTATGTTAAGAGGCATTGGGAGTAATGGAATATGTAGTACTGTACAAGTTCTAAGTAACGTATGATACAAATTGATAATAATTATATTGAAATTTTGTTTTATGTAATAGGCGACGATCACATGCAAAACGATATCGTCATTGGACGTGAAATACTAAAACAGGGTTTTGATATTGTCATTTCATTAGACAAATTTACGATTTCAAGAGCCAAAATAATTAATTTGTGAGCCAGCTGATATTGATACAGAACTTGACAGAGAAAATAAAATAAAACTAAATTCATTGTTGGCAAAGTACTCAAATTGTTTTCTCAAAGGAATTCCATGCACTAAAGTTAAAGTAGGTAAAATGAAAATTAGATTGATCGATCCTAGTAAAACTGTTCAGAGAAGGCCATACCGATTAAGTCCATGCGAGCGATTTAGTTCGAGGGAAAATTGAGGAGCTGTTGAGGTGTAATAATAAGGCCAAGCTGTTCACCTTATGCAAGCCCTATACTGTTAGTTAAAAAGAAAAATGGTTCGGACAGACTCTGCGTTGACTATATAGAGCTAAATTCAAACACAGTGGCTGATAAATATCCGCTGCCACTTATATAGGATCAGATAAAGAGACTTCGAGGAGTTAATTATTTTACGTGTCTAGATATGACCGGTGGATACTACCAAATTCCTATGGATGCTGATTCTATAGAGTACACAGCGTTTGTGACGCTAGATGGTCAGTATGAATTTGTGTCTATGCCATTCGGGCTTAGAAATGCGCCTTCTGTTTTTCAATAATTAGTAAGGCGCTAGGGGATTTTGTCGAATTCTTATGTTATCGTGTATATGGATGATATTATGATAACTACCACAACATTAGAGGAAGCTTTTGAAAGATTGGAGATTGTTTTAAATGTTCTGACAGAGGCTGGATTTTCGTTTAATATTACAAAGTGTTCCTGCCTGAAAACATCGGTGCAATATTTAGGCTTAAGTGTCAGTGCTGGAGAATTCGTCCAAACCCTCAGAAAATTGTAGCGTTAACAGCCCTTATGCCTCCACAATCTGTAACATCACTTAGACAATTTATTGAATTAGCATCGTATTTCCGGCAGTTTATTAGGGGTTTTCGCAGTTAATGAAACCGTTATATTTCTTAACTTCTGAGAAAAATAAATTTAATTGGAAAGCAGAACATGAGCAGATACGGAAGAAGGTTATTTCTATACTTACTGATGAGCCAGCTCTTGTTATTTTTGACCCAAATTATCCAATTGAACTGCATACAGATGCAAATTGCAGTGGCTACGATGCAATTTTATTACACAGAATTAATAACAAACCCCAGGAAATAGAATATTTTAGCAAAACAACTTCACCTGCAGAGTCAAGATATCACTCGTATGAGTTAGAAACCTTAGCGGTCGTAAACTCCATTAAACATTTTCGACATTATTTGTTGGACAGGAACTCTACAGTTTTTACCGACTGTAACTCATTGAAGGCGTCAAGAAATAAGCAAGATTTGACTCCTAGAGCACAGCGATGGTGGGCCTTTTTGCAGTCATTTACATTTGATATTCAATATAGAGAAGGGAAAAGAATGGCACATGTTGACTTTTTGTCGAGAAACCCTATCGCACCAGAGTCCTTTGCTGTAAAAGTAGTTGAAGAGAAGAGAGTTAACTTGGCTGAAATTTCAAGTAATTGCTGAACAACGTCGAGACTCAGATATAGCCGAAATAGTAAACAAATTAAAAGACTTTTCTCTTGCTGAAGATATTGCGAAAACTTATGAACTAAGGGCAGAAATTCTCCACCGAAAAATTCAGAGAAATGGCAGAACTCGTTGTTTACCGGTGGTGCCGCGTGCTTTTAGATGGTCCGTCATAAACGAAGTCCATGAGTCAATTATGCTTTTAGGTTTCGAAAAGACACTTGATAAAGTTTACGATTTTTATTTGCTTGATAATATATCAAAATACATTAAGAAATTTGTAGAGAATTGCATCACTTGCAAAATGTCGAAATTACGTTCAAGAAAAATTCAAGCTGAACTGCATCCAATCCCAAAAGTAAATATTACTTGGCATACTATCCACATCGACATAACAGGGAAATTAAGTGGCAAAAGTGACCAGAAGGAGTATATTATTGTTCAAGTTGACTCGTTTACCAAGTATGTCTATCGTAGTCATACTCTTAAACTAGACAGTGACAGTTGCATAGAAGCTGTAAAGTCCGCTGTTTTGTTTGGAGTACCAAACCGAATAATAGCCGACCAAGGAAGGTGTTTTACAGGAGCAAAGTTTAGTCAATTTTGTTCTGATCAGAAAATAAATTTGCATTTGATTGCCACCGGTGCTAGTCGAGCTAATGGCCAAGTGGAACGAACAATGAGCACGTTGAAAAATATGTTAACGGCGGCTGAAACGGGAATACAGTCTTGGCAGGATGTGCTAGGAGAGGTGCAGTTAGCAATTAATTGTACAACTAACCGAGTGACGAAGGCAAGTCCTTTAGAAATGTTATTGGGAAAAGTATCAAGGCCGTTAGGATTACTTCCACCTTGTGACATAGAAAACGAAGTTAACCTGTCAAACGTGAGAGCGCAAGCTAAAAAGAATATTGTATCTACAGCAGTGTATGATAAAGAACGGTTTGATAAAAGTAAGGCGAAAGTACGTAGACACAATGTTGGAGATTTTGTTTTACTAAAAAACGAGGAAAGGCATCAAACCAAGTTGAATCTAAAATTCAAGGGGCCTTTCGAAATAACAGAGGTATTAGAGGGTGACAGGTACTTTTTAAAGTCATTAACCAGTAAACGAACTTATAAGTATGCGCATGAAGATTTAAGAAAGTTACCAGAAGGGGAAGTACCCGAAGAGCTGAATGTGTTTGATGACTATAATAATGAAAATAATGAGAATATTGAGAATGTTGAAAATGTTGAAGTTATTGATGAAAGAGAAGTGCCCCAATAAGGGTGGCAAAGATATATTGTACTGCTGGCCAAAGGAAATGGCAGAGTACTTGGATGGTTTAATGTAAGCACAAAAATGAAATGTTTGAAAAGAGAATGTAAAGAGACAGTATCGTGGCCTGAGTGGACGATAATGAGATAATGTAATATTAATGTAAGCACAAGTGCAAAATAAGCTGATGTTTGTTTTGATCATGGCGTGTGGTGCATTAGATATTTGGAATATTGAATTGAGTTAAAGAGACAGTATCGTGGCCTGAGTGGACGATAATGAGATAATGTAATATTAATGTAAGCACAAGTGCAAAATAAGCTGATGTTTGTTTTGATCATGGCGTGTGGTGCATTAGATATTTGGAATATTGAATTGAGTTAAAGAATTGGATTAAAGAAAAGAAAAGAAGAAGTCTGTATGTGTGAACATGAAACATAATTTTTGAAGACCTGAAGTATTAAAGAAACCCAAACAGAATGGTAATGTTTATGCTAAAGTTTGTTTTAAGAAAGTTTGATACTATTTTGATAAGTTGACATTAGTTAAGAAAAGTAAATTGGATTACTCGAAATATTTGTTTAAATTAATGAAAAGGGGGCAAAAGAGAAACGTTCAGTTACTTATACACGAGGTCGTGTTAGAGTCAGTATGGCCGTGTCGGCGAATGGATATACCATTCGTATACCAGCGTATGCAGAATGCTAGTTCCTGGAAAGTTTGTCTTACGCGGAACTTTGGCATTCTTGGTTCTATTCTATGATTGGTCCTCTTAGTTCGTTGTGGCGCGTCACAGCTGCGCTGTTAGTTCCCTTTTTCACAGGAATCGTTATAGCGAGGCGGCAGCGTCGCGTCGCTGTCGCCGTGTGTGGTTCGAAGGCAGTTCTTAGGCAGAACGATCGGGCAGTCTTCAGCGATCGTCAGCCAAGAAAGTCGAAACTCACTCCGCTCGAAAATGGAACGCGACCATGAATCGACATATCTATACTATTATATAAAGAGGTAATGTAAGTTTGTTTGTTTGTTTGTATGAATTGAATAGGCTCCGAAAGTACTTGGCAGATTTGAAAAATTCTTTCACTGTTGGAAAGCTACATCATTCCTGAGTGTCATAAGCTATATTTCATTTAAAAAAAAAAATAGGCATCCTTACTAAAATTAAGATAACGTAATCCAAGGTGTTAAAAAAAAACAAAAAACTACCTTACATCTACCGCCCTCTACAGGCAGCCAAAGCATTTCCTGTCAAAACATTCAAAACATATTGAAATAAGGAATTGGAGATAAAAATTTTATTTTTTTGTTCAGGTTCAGTAAGAAACGAAGTCATGCCACCCAAGAAGTAGAGTTTGGGTCATCGTAATCGTAATACAGAAGCAAAAAGACGTAAGATTACGAATATAACTGACGAAGAACGGGCCTCCATCCGAGAGACTGAGCGGCTGAGAGCAATGCAGATGCACAAGGAAGAATCAGCAGAAAGACGAGCAGATAGGCTTGAGAGAAAACGATTAAGAGTTAGACAGTCGCGTTCTGCAGCAATCGATTTGATTCACTCTCAAAATAATGAACGCGATAGGGCAAGGGTAGCTGAAGCGCGTTTACAGCTTGCAGAAGATCAGATATAATCCAACTATTGATTACAGCTCGAATCGAATGTCGTTATTGGCCGGATGCATCAGGTCTGCATATACTGTCAGGCCTCTTAGATTGAATCAGACGAAACTTCGGTCCGAGGAATATATCCATTTGCGGGATGCTGTGATGAATGCTGCAACTCTTTTGAAGGATGGCAAAACTGCTCATTCTACTTTTAAACTTCCACTATCCGTCAATCTTGAACAACAATCTACATGTTCAATACGCAAAATGGACCTATTGGTAAATTACTAAAAGACGCCTCATTGATTATGTGGGACGAATGCACGATGAGCCATAGAGCACATATAGAGGCCGTGAACAGAACCTTACAGGATCTAAGGAACTCCTCTGCAGTCATGGGCGGGATTACTTTTGTATTTGCTGGAGATTTTCAACAGACTCTCCCCGTTATTAACAGAGGCACGCGAGCAGATATCATCAAGGCATGCTTGAAATCGTCTCCCATATGGACTACGTTTGAAACATTAAAATTAAGGACAAATATGAGAGCTCATCTTCATGGAATCACTGATAGCGATTTACCACAGCAACTGCTAAAACTTGGGGAAGGAATTTTTCCAACTCCAAATTTAAGCGGTCATTGTGACATTCTTCTGGATGAGTCTCTAGGCCAAATACTCCATAATTTGGAAAATTTAATAGATTCTGTATACCTTGATATCGAGAATTTGCACGAAAGAGACTTACATTGGCTGTGTTCTCGGGCTGTAGTATCACCTAAGAATGATACTGTCAATGAAATAAATAATCTGATTGTTCAAAAAGTCCCCGGCCAAACAAAAACATACAAATCGATCGACACTGTAACGAATATTGAAGATGCAGTCCATTATCCACAGGAATTTTTAAATTCGTTGAACCCTTCTGGACTGCCACCCCATGAATTGACGTTAAAAATCGGAATCCCAATCATGCTTTTAAGAAATTTAAACCCTCCGAGCATGTGTAATGGGACGAGGCTGCTTATTAAGGAGTTAAAGGACAATTTAATAGTAGCAAATATTATCACTGGCCCAGCAAGTGGTCAACTAGCTCATATACCGAGGATACCGATGATCCCAACTGATCTGCCAATCCCATTTAAACGGCTCCAATTTCCGGTAAAAACATCTTTCGCATTAACAATTAACAAGTCCCAAGGCCAAACCCTCGAATTAGTAGGGATCGATCTGCGAAATATATGTTTTACTCATGGTCAACTGTATGTTGGTCAATCGCGAGTCGGAGCCCCTGAAAATCAATTTATTTTGCTGCCACAAAATAAAACAACATCAAATATTGTTTACAGAGAAGCACTAACTAAATAAATGTAATGAACTCAATAATTGAAAAAAAAAGGATGAATATGTGTCATATTATTATTATTATTATGAATGTGTTAAAATTGACTAATCTAAATGTAATGTTTAATTCCCGTGCGAAGCAGGGACGGGCCGGCTAGTATATTATAAAGTGCCTGAAATGTATCTTCAAATGATAGGGTCAAGTGCAGCAAACGAAACACGAGAAGATAACAATAAATAAATTGAAATTCAAAAACTATGTTTGTTCTTTTTTTTTTTTTGTCTTTTTATAAAAAAAAACTATCCGTTTTTTGTCCTTTTTTTTACAGATCTGTCATTTTTTTGTGTTGAAGCGGTGGAAACCCTGATGTAGACTGATGTTGAGACATGCATGAATTCAATAAGCTTTTAACAACTTAAAAGGCTTCATAGACATTATTAAATTTTAGCCGCCTAAATGTCATACTTAATAGTATTTACGATGTTAATGTAGTTTGTGTGCTTAAAATGGAAAATTCAAAAACCTTTGGGTATGCTTTAAAATCATAAAGGAAACTTAAAAGTATATATAAATATTAAGTTTTTTACAGATCTTAACGTTTTATGTTATATTGAAAAAATTACCTCATAATAAGCAAGAAATCCTGCAGCCTTGGTAAATTCGCCAGCATGACCGGGTCCTGGAGCTTTAGCGTTTAGTCCATTGTTACTGGCATTCTCGAGAGTAAAAGATTGCCCGTATAGAGGCATACCCATAACAATTTTTCTTGACGGGGCTCCCTTTGCGATCCAATAGTTTAAGGAGAAGTTCTATATAATATCAGAAGATACATTTATATTAACTACATTAAATATTAAGAAATGCACACGCCAAATACCAACCGCATTAAAGTGATCAAAGTCATCGTCAGGATGATAGTAAAGAGGTGCCACATGTCCAGTTTTCTTATCCCATTGCCCATGAAAATCATAAGTCATAACAGCAATCCAATCAAAATAACGAGACAGTTCTGGTACGTTGTATCCAGCATCAATAATTTTCTTGCTGGGCGAAACTGCGGTAGATAACAAAAATCCACGGGGACGAAATGCTTGGGAGAGCTCCCGTACCCACGCAGTGAATCCTTCCTTTTCCTCTGCAAATCCCTTGTTACACTCTGTTTGCCAACATACCGGGTATTCCCAGTCCAAGTCTAGTCCCTCGAAGCCATACTTGTCGATAAATTCTAGAGCATGACGGATAAATCTAGCCCGTGCCATCGGACTCCGCACTAGCCGGCTGTACTTATCGCCCTGAGAATCATTCCATCCGCCGAGTGCCAGACTCACCTTGATACCCTTTTCCTTGAGCCCGGTCACTCTCGTATAAAAGTTGTTGTCAATGTCTGCCCAAGAATCATGAGTTCGCAGAATTAACTCAGAGTAGTCCAATACCGCAAACCCGTACACTACGTGTGTGCAGAGGTCTGTGTTAATGTCATCTGGCGTGTAGCGACCTAAGCCCTTGCGGTACCAGGCCCAGTTGGTGAAGTAGCATACTATCTTATAGTAACCATCCAGCGGCTGTAGCACTGGTTTGTCGGTGGGGTAGGTGGGATGCTGAGTAGTGGTCGGCTTTTGGGTGGTAGGTGCTGGCTTTACTAACGCTGGAGGCATCGGCTTCGTGTTTACATCTCCACCCATGCTGGTAGCGGAAATCTGATTACACTTGGCTGCTGCAGGCCAATCGCAGTTACCGATTGCTGTGTTGTAGTGCAGTCCCGGTGGACAGTCTGCCGCCTGAAGACGGTTCCACAAACAGAATAGATACTTGGAACAGTCGCCAGGATAAGAGACACGCACCTCTCCGTTGCATGGATCTTCCTCGCTAGATCTAGTGGCTTGAATAATTCTTAAGTATTTCTTACTTGTTACGCACTGCACGTTTTTAGGCCAGTCACAGGTTTTACGGATAGCATCCCAGTGCAAATCTCCGCCGCATTCGCTTGGCGCTAATACTCCATTTACACAAATATAGTACTTTGCGCAGTTCCTGTGGGTATAGTATTCGCCTTCATTGCACCGTGGCGATGGGGAAGGTCGTGGACGGCGTGTCGTAGGGTTCGGTGGTTTGGTCGGGACATTTCCTGCAACTTGTACTCCCGACGTGGGCTTTGTCGGTTTCTTATTGGGCTTTGAAGGCCTGTTTGGTTTTTCGGAAGTTTGAATAGGGCTGACTGTAGTTGTTTTCTGATCCTGATTCGATAAACATTTAGTTGAGGAAGGCCAATCGCAGCCTTTAGCCTCATTGTTCCAGTGCAGGCTTCCAGGACAAAATTGCTGTCTCATCTCTCCTTTTATAATGCATTGATAGTATACATTGCAATTCTTTGAATCTGGATAAAACTCGCCGGGCTCGCAGTTTGCGGCTTGTACTACCGGAAAGATCTGTGCTTGCACGGGTATAGAAGTATGTGCCGGTTTTGTGGTTGTCCTCGTTGTTTTGCTTGGTCCACTTGCCATTGTGGAGCTCCACCAGTTGGTGCTCGGGCTTTCAGTAGTTGTAGTCGTAAGCCTTTTGGTTGTACTTGTAAAGGACGGCGGTGTTTTCGTTGTAAGAATAGTAGGGACGTGGCTGGCCTCCCAGTTTGGCCTGAATGTTGTGTGCTCGTGATTTTGCCCAGATCCCGCCGAGCCATCGCTGCTGATGGTGGTCATTTGTGGAGGCAATGGAGTGCTCACTGGAGGTGGACGCGTACAGTTCTGTCGTTTGGGCGCCTCTAAATGTAATCGCCCAAGTCCCCGGTTTATGGCCTTCAACAGTGGGTAGGACTCACTGCAGCAATGGTTACTAAAGTCATCTAGGTCAATGGTCCACGCGGCTACTCCGGCAAAATCGTTTTTGACTGCATACCGAGCCTTGGCCTCAACACTAGATGAGTCCTCGTAACCCACCCACTGATCATTTAGCATAGCATACGGACCAGATCTCTTGTTGACATCTCGACCACTAAGCCACTTCAGTGTTGTGACACGGTGGCAAATTTCATAGTATGAAAGCATTCCCGGTTGCTTAGTTGATTCCCCGGCTTCTCCGGGCCCCGTAGCCGGAATCCCTTCGCCAACCAATTTCTGTCTACTTTTCTCTAGTGTGAAGCTTTGACCATAAAAAGGAATGCTTAAAACGAGCTTTTCTCTCACAGCGCCCATTTTCACCAGAAACTGCATTGTGTAGTCTGTGTTGTACTGCGGATATTTTTCTGACGAATGACCGTAAAGCGGACTAACATGCCCTGTCTGTCGCTCCCAAGCTCCATGGTAGTCATAGGTCATCACTGTCATGTAATCCACTATATCAGAAAGGGCTGGAAGTTCATAGGCTTCCGTTATGATCTCTTTATAGCCGGATATAGCTATTCCCAACTGAAGTTTTGGATTAACCCGCAGAAATTCGTTACGCAAGTCGCGAAGCAACTTTGTTAGGTTAGGCTTATCACTGGCAGGTCCCTTGGAGCAGTCACTTTGCCAGCATTTTGGATAATTCCAGTCCATGTGCAGACCGCTAAATCCGTGACGCTGTAGAAAGCCGGCCGCACTGGAAGCGAACACACGCCGCTTGATTTCATCACCAGCCAGACGAGAGTACTTATCGCCACTAGAGTCCGTCCAACCGCCCAGTGCAATCAATACGGGTACTCCTAATGTAACTACTCGGCGATAGTATTGGTTTTCCAAATCCACCCAGGGATCAAAATCGCGAATGGTTAGATAATCGGGGTCCAGCGATGCGAACGAGTAGATGATGGCCGAGCAAAGCACTGGATCGATATGCTCTGGTACAAAATGACCATCGCCCTTTCGGTAGAATGCCCAGTTAGACATGTAGCAAAGAACTTTGGGAGCCATGATGATTTTTTTGTTCTTTATCTGCGCCAGAGCCCCATAGGCAACTTCGGAGTTTTCCACTCCCAACTGTGCTAGCGCGCCGTAAGATAGTTGTTCCTTAAAGGGATCTAGTTCATCGATCATCTCTAGGTGTCCAATATCCACGGCTTTTAAAAGCTGTTGATATGGAGAGCCAGTTCGGAAAGGCTGTGGATGATATTCATCCGATGCTCCGGAAGCAATAAAAGCGGCGTATTTATCGGATATTGTCCATGGATCCGGTTCTAAAAGCTGCTCGGGGTTAATTTCGGTACCCACATCTATATCTCTGACGTAGCTTTCCAAGTTTTCGTCATCATCGAACTTTGGCACTGCTTCTATGGAATCGCGAATAAATGAACGTCGACTTGAAGATTCCCTTAACTGAGTAACGGTCCTTTCATTTAGAGTCGGAACACTTTCTACGGCTGTGCGTAGCGGCAAGAATGTATCGCCAAACGTGTGATGAAATCGACTTAAGGCCCCTACTTCATCCTCTAAAGGGATACTTTCTACAGCAGAGCGGACGAAGGCAGGTTTGTAATTTGGGGACACATGAATCTCTGGTGCATCAATGCGAATGTGTCCGATGACTGCTGATGCGTAAAGTGTTACCCCGAGCATCTATTCAGAAATTTTTTTTTTTTTTGGTTAGAGGAAAATATACCTTTGAAGTAGTATGAATTATCAAGCTTACTCACCAGCAGTCTACACAGCGTAGCAATCCTACGCATATTTTGTAGCTTAAAATTTTCTGAAAAGAAAATAAAGTAAAGCGTATTGTATGATTTTTTATATTTTTGTGTGAAGATACAATCAGAACTAACGAACAAGGCTATATATTTTGGGTGTCGGACATGCTCCGCCTGACTCTTGCATGCAAGCTATAATACCAACATTATATTTATTAACACATTAAGCCGATATACAGGTGAGCCTCATCAAAATATTTAGTATGTGTATGGCTTTCCAAAATAATATATTAGATTTTGTTATATTAATTGTTTTATACACTAACAAAAAAATATTAAACTAGTTTAAATTATTTATATATTAAGGGAAAGCCATTAAATTAAATAAATCCATTTGAAATACGGAAAATATAACTTTCCTAACAACAATTAGTACTTTTGGCAAAATTGTAAACTCGTGGTTTTGGGACGATTCACTAGTTTGCTTATACCTTAACTAAAGGCATATTTATCGCAATCGTTCTTGTTACGTACATATTTAATTAACCCATCTGTTGTAAAATCTTCTGTTAATTTGAAGGCCAACTGGTTTGAATATTTATTTTTAAACCTATTGTCTGTGAAGTGAGACCGTTTACATTTTTGGTTCCATTCCAAAAGAAATGCATCGATGTAACCAGGGACGACGCTCAGAGTTTGAAGAGTCAAGACGCAGAAGCGCACTTTATAATTTGCGAGACAATATAGTTAAATAAAAAATGAAGAAGTATTTAAGTGCTCAAGTGTTCATTCAGGGGACGTAAGAGGTCTTTTGACCTCGATTTCAATGGCAATATAATTAAACAGGTATTTCCCCAACACCGTCTAATGGAGGAATGGGATCGAAGTTTATGGTATTACGGCCAAAACTAATTTGAGTCGCATCAGTGTCTTTCAAAACAATCCTTCAGTACCATTCATCAATAGTGTTGTTGATGATTTATTAATAAATGTCCACACAAAGTACTGATGAATTTTACATGGGCATGTCTTAAACTGTCATCAACAATTAATCAACGATTCATCAACATGTTATATAAAATTTTAGGTCGAAAAAAATTGGTTTGGCTTTTTTGTTGCACTTGAAGAATATGATTTGCTGTTAAATGAATAAATTAGTTTGTAATTTTCAATTTAAAGTTTTAGTTTTTCCTCACTGTCGACGATCGAATATTGCTTGTGGGAACTAGAAATGTGGAGCCGTTTAAGGCAAATCCAAGTGACTCTCCACAACTCCTTTTATTCGCAGTCCTAGAGAGACTGGTAGCGCAGGCAGCGCCCTACGTATCGGCTGAGGAGTCGCAGGCAGCGACGTAGAGGAGCGCGGTCAGCGCCGAACACAATTCAAGTCGCAGTCAGGGAGACAAGGAGACGCGGACATCGTCAGTTGAGTCGCACTCAGCGATAAGGAGACGCGGACTGTCAGTTGAGATGCAGTCAGCGACAAGGAGACGCAGACAGCGTCAGTTGAGGAAACCGCAGTCAGCGGTTAGGAGGCTCGGACAGCGAAGGAGCTGCAGCAGTTAAAGCCCTGGGAAGCGTGCGCACCGCCAATTGTAGTTGGCGCGCACAGTGTAGCGTTAAGGCGGCCGCCATTTTGAAGCGGTAAGCCATTAGCCACATCGATCGGGAAGACCCATATAACGGGGTCGGGTCGCTGCCCTTTAACGGTGTCTGTGGGTATAGCGCGAACTGCACGCTGCCGCCATCTTGTAGTGTGCCGCCATTTACAACAATTTCTGCGCAGACAGCACATGGATTCGCTCTACCGGCTGTGAACAACCCCAACGTGGCACCAGCATCGCCACTTGTCTGAGTCCCCACCTTGACGACGTCGAATGGAATCCAAGGAGCATAAGGGCCGAGAAAACCTTCATTTAGAGCGCAGCCCGAGGAGTGGCCGATCTTCAGGTGTGTGTTCAAGAAGACGAAAAGAGCGTATTACTGAACGGATTTGGAGGACAAGCAAAGGTTGTTGAAGACGCTAACGCTCGCAATGCAGTGAAGTCGCTATTGATTCATCCAGGGAACGTCAGCGACGTGAGCAGCTGCGCTTAAGGTTTGGCCGACCGGAGCAGCTACTACGCAATCAGATGAACACCGTGCAAGAAGTGCAATCAATTTCGGAGCACAATCTAGCGAAGATCGTTCCCTTCGCAAACCGAGAGTACGCAAACGTCTTGTGTACCGTTTTGGATGAAGAGGGAAAGAAGCCGAGGCGTCGAGTTCTACATGCTAACATCGACCAAAACAAATGCAATCAACAGGATAATCGGCACAGATGTTGTCTAATCTGTGGAGGAAACACGCAGTTACGAATTGCAGGGAACTTACTGGAACTTCGCCATCGGGCAGGTGGAGCATTGTGAGGAGTCATCGACTCTGCTTCACATGCTTACGAAGTGGGCACATGACTAGATCCTGCAATGCATAGTGGGTGCTAGATTAATGACTGCCCCAAGTTGCATAACCGTCTGCTGCATGGCGCAGAGGTGGGTTCAGTCACCACAACGGAGGGAACCAGCAGTCAGCGGTTTCCAGACGCAGCGGACAGGTCTTTGCGACGAGATGGTTACAGGGACCACGAGGTGAACCAGCAGTAACGCTGTACGGAGCTGGTCGGACGGTGAATACGTTCGCGCTCTTTGATGAAGGATCCTCCGTTACGATGATCGACGACGAACTACGGAGGAATTTGGGAGTACGAGGAGAGTGCCGACAGCTAAATATCTAATGGTTTGGAGGCATTCAGAGAGACCACCAACGTAGTGATTCTGAAAATAAGTTGAGTTGGAAAGTCCACTCGCCATGTACTAAGAAACGTGTATGCCATTTCGAACTTGAGTCTACCGATGCAGACGGTAAGTCGGCAGGATGTCCAGGATGTGCATAAGGATGCGCGTCTGCCGATGAAGCCTTACTGCAACGGGGTGCCGGAGTTGCTCATCGCCTTGGATCATGGACATCTGGGATTGACACTGAAAACAAGGCGATTTGCCAGAGAGGGAAAGTATGCAGCCGCAACCGAGCTAGTCAAGGTTGTATAGAGGACTACTTCGATTTGGAGAAGCTTGTGTCAAAGACACCACGGTGAGAGTGGGGTATCGCTACCAAACGGGATTGCTCTGGATGGACGACCACGTTAAGCTGTCACAGAGCTATGAGATGGAGTACAAACGGCTGGTTAACGTCAAGAAGAAGATGAAGCGCAATTGGCGCAGGAATACTGTCTGATCATCAAGGATTATGTGTCAAAAGGATACGCGAGGCGGTTGGAGCCATATGAGGTCGCGGAGAAGAGTGACCGGATATGGTTTTTGCCACATTTTGGAGTCGCAAAACCAGACGAAGTGTGCCCCGATGAGAAAATGTCGATCCCACGGCTGAAGCTACAGGCAGCACTTCTTGTGCCCCTGATGAAGAGGAGATGCCCAGTGAGTTTGCTTAAGTTGTGCCAAATGATTTTGTTATCTCATTCCAGAGGTTTTCGAGCTTCAGTCGCTTGGTTACAACCACAGTGTGGGTCTTGAGGTTTACGCTCCGGTGTCGTAAACAGAAAAGCATGCTCGAGGAATACGGCCTTACTGCAGCAAAATGTCAGGCCGCAAAGAACCTTGTAATCAGGCAGGCTCAACTTGATTCTTTTCCCGATGAGGTCGATGGAATACGGAAAGGCTGTCCCCATGTCGAGCGATATTCGAGGGCTGGTGCCCTACGTGTATGACCACGGAATTCTGCGAGCTTATGACAGAATTGATGCCGCACTGTGCGTGCTGTACAGTGCGAGGAGGCACGTAATACTGTCACACAGGCACAGTCTTACGGAGATGATTGTCAATCACTTCCACGTCAAGATGAAGCATTAAAACGTGGATGCGGGGATTGCGGAGATCCGGACGAGATTCTGGGTTACGAAGATAAGGCGTGTGATGAAAAAAGTGATCTCTTCGTGCAACGATTGCAAGTTGCAGCGAGCGCGGTCAGTGCCACCGATAATGGGATCTAAAAGATATACTGAAAGCGGGTGGATGGCCATTCAAATACACAGGATTGGACTAATTTAGGCCACTGTTGGTGAATGTTTCCCGTCACAAGGAGAAGCGTAGGGTCGCCTTGTTTACGTGCTTGACGACAAGGGCGATTCACCTGAAATTGGCACATGACCTTTCGACGGATTCCTGCATCATCGCAATTAGGAATTTCATCTGCCGTAGAGGACCAGTACACAGACTGAGCAGCGATCACGGCAAGAACTTCATGGGAACAGACAGGGAGGCCAGACGCTTTGGAGACGTGTTCGAGATCGAGAAAATTCAGAATAAGCTGTCAAGCAGAAGCATTGAATCCATCTTCAACTGCCCAGTGAACCCGTCTGAGGGAGGAATATGGAAGCGAATGGTGCAGTGCATCGAAAGAGTACTGCGTCATACCCTAAAGGAAGTCGCACCAAGTAACCATGTATTGGAGAGTTTTCTTATCGAGGCGGAAAATCTCTTAAATTCGTGTCCGCTTACCCATTTGCCGGTGGAAGTGTGTACGGGTATATTTTTATCGCTATTGTTAACCGCCAAAATTTGCCATTTTATTGTCGTGCGAGAGTACACACACTGCGGTGAGCGCGTGTTAGAGTTAACTGGAATGTAAATTTAAGCTTAAGTTTTATTGTCCATAGAATAAAACGTACGTGCTTCATATCAAACTGTCGGCCTCGGGCCGATAGTCTTACCTTTTGGTTTGACGGGAACTAGAGATGTGGAGCCGTTTAAGTCAAATCCAAGTGACGCGCGATACTCACATAAAACACTGTTTTTAATATAATTCCACAGTCAGCTTTATAATTCCACTGTTTTTAATATAGTTCAGCTGGTTTCCATAAATTCCACTATTTATCATATGCATTTACTGCTGTAGCAAAAACTCTCACACAATAAGAGGAATTTCACAATTTAACGTTTTGCCAGATAAAATACATATATTCATCCTAACTTCTTCAAAATTTAAAATTGATTTATTATATC